CGGGTTTCCCAGGAGCAGCGCGTTGGTGACGTCCGCCCTTGATGTACTGACTCATGTCATAAACACGGCCTTGGAGGATAGCAATCGATTGTGACTTGCCAGCGAGCTTCTTGACGTAGGGCGGCGAGTAACCAACGTTGCCAACCTTGTAACCATTGCCCTTGAGGAAGATCATCTGCTCCGCAAACCAGTCAGGACGACTATCATTGGTGAAGGCGCGGAAATCATGGAAATGCGCGTTCTTATCCTGGCTGCTGATAACAGCGGCCGCGTTGGTGATGTTGTCTGACTTGTAGTCGAGAGTGACCGTGTCCGCAATCGTGCCTTTCACACCGCGGCACAAAGCCGAAACCTGGACGGGGAAGAGGCCCGAAATGTCAAGACCAGCGTACTGTGTGAATGACTTTGAATCCAGGCGAGGATAGTGGCGTGGCGCGAAGTCACCAATGTCGAAAACCTGACCGCGAATAGCCGCATAGGCAGGGTTCTTGCCCTTGCCGTCGTAGCTGGACAGCTCCGCAGGACTGTAAACGTGCTGCTTGGGGCAGATCAACATGGGGAAAACAACAATGAAGAAAGCGGCAAGCAAGCAGAAGAACCAGATGATGAAGTTGATGGCCACTTTTTCTCTCCAAGCCATGCGGACGTCCTTGCGCGGCATCTTGCCGAGGATGCGAATGGCAAAATCGGGAATAAACCAAGTCAAACAATAGGTCAAGAAGACCCAGCGCTTACGACTAGGCTTGTCCTTGTACACCTCAACCTCGGCCATATCCTTTTCATTGGCCTTTTCCGCCATCTGCTCACGGGTCTCGAATGTCTTGAACATGTCGCCCGCGCCGATAGCAGTGCCGGCCTCTGATCGTGCATCCACATCGTTGCTTCCAAAGTAGCCGGCCTTCTTGTCGTTGTACATCTGTGGTGTAGAGCTTGTCGAGGGCATCAGGCGCTCCTTTGGATCGCTGAACGGATCTGGTGTAGAACCATTATCTGATGGCAACCCGTAACGGCCCGAGGTGGAAGTGTTCTCTCCAAGCTGTGCCAGTTCCATCCAGCATCGCTCGCTCAAGAAGACACCAGTAGCGCCGATGGCGACCTCGTTGCTTGGCCATCTCTTGTCCTCGACAACCATCTCGACCTTTTCGCGTTCAGTTCCAACCAAAATGGTGTCGGCATCTGCCAAGCCCAAGAACTCACCAAACGGCAGGAACAAACTGAAATCAGCGGCGCGCAGGCGCTGGCTGATCTCGGCAATCCCGAACGTCTGGACCTGTGCCCTGACGCACTTGCTATCAAACTGGTTCGCAATACGCCGGTCGTTGGGCTTGAGACAGAAGACGAAATAGCAATTTGTCCCTTGCGCAGTCAAGGCTGTCTTGACGTTTTCTAGCGCAGAGAGGAACTGAGCCGCGGCGCCTTGTTCCGATCCCTTGCTAGACTTCCTGCTGGGCTCTCCCGACTCGCTGACCTCGTCGATCGCGATATCCGACTCTGCCTTCTCTCCACGTAGGCGGCGACCTGGAGCGGGGCGTCCTCGCCGCGACAGAACACTGGGTGTGCGCATCGGCTTAGAGCTGACTGAGGCTTGCATCACCGTGGTCTTCTCTTGCGGGTGGACAACCGTATGAAGAGCTTCTTGGCCGAAGAGGCGGATGACAAAGTTGCTCTTGCTGGAGTTGATTAGGTTCATGAGGTCACCAGAAATAACCTCACCATTCTCCTCCACCAAGCCCTTGACAGGGTAGTCGACCTCACCAGCGAAGTGCTTGACCGTGAACGTCGCGGCGGTGTTCTCGGTAAAGAAGTTGCTGCCAGGCAACTTTGCAGTCGCCGAGCCAACCTCGATAGCGGGGTTCTTGCCCTCAAAGCGCTTGCGCAGACTCTCGAGAAGTTGCATATCAGTGCGATGACGGCGCGTCTGGTCATCCAAGATGCTAAGGAGACCATTTCCAGGCTTCAGCAAACCCTTCACGGCATCCGAATTATCAAAGTAGCTCGTCGCGGGGACAGTAACCTCCTCCAGCTCGAGCAGCTCGGCCTTGCGGTCGAAGAAGGTCTGCAGAGTCAAGTTGTACATGGACTCGGCAGCAGCGTTGTTGAGCAGCTGATCAAGGGTCGAGCCTGTGGAAGACTGCTGCTGGAAGCCGGGGAAATCAATTATGGAAACAGTGTTGGAGATGGCATCCTCAGCGGCGCACAGCTTCTGGTTGATGTTCTCGATAATGTAAGCGACGAGTAGCGAGTACAAGGTCCGCGCCAACTCATCGGCGTTCTCACGAGCACCCGCGGGATCCAACATAACCGTGACCCTTTCCTTGTGGATCATCTTGGTCTTGTAACCCAACGTTGTCTGGAGGTCCTGGACGCCAACACCGAGGAAAGCAGCGACAATGGCCAAAACATCCTTGTTCTTGACGGCGGTAACCATCTGGCCACCCTCATGGGAGAAGCCACCACTGTCATCGCCAGTAGCGGAAGTGCTCGATGTTGTCTCGAATTCGAGCTGGCCAATATGGAGGATGGCGGCCAAAATCTGGCAGATCTCGGCAATCTCGGTCCTGGGAAACTCGAGCTTCCTCAAGGCCGTCTTGAAAAGCTGAAATCCCTCGGCGTCGTTGATGCCAACCTTGAGTTGCGTGGGGTGACCCAGATACTTCCACCGCTTACCCCCTGTGGTACCTTCCTCAAATCCCAAATGGGCCTTTTCCGCGGGACTTGTACCAGCCAGGAGGTAGTACAGCACGTGGAAGTTGCGTTCTCCCGTTGGCACAGCCGCTATCCTGCTCCTTTCCAAACGATGATCCAACAACTTGGCACCGATGAGCTGTGGGCTGGTGGTGGATGCTGTGTCGTACTGCAACTCGAAAAAGAGACCGGCCTTGGAGGCCGTTGGCGTTGTGGCTGTCTTGGTGGTAGTGAGCGTGTCAAAGACATATGCGGCCAGGGACACCTTGTTGGAAAGGGGAGTTGAAGACTTGTTGAGGAGTGCCGTCAGGACGTGCGCACGAATGGTCGTCTTTCCTGAGCCCGATTCACCCCTATTGTCTCAGCCGTTAGTAACGAGGTCACGCCGCAAGGTATGACAAAAGCAAAAAGACAGCAACATACAAGAAGAGCACGGCCTGGTTCTCTGACCGATGACCGAGACGGATGTAGGCCCTCTCGGCCATGTCCTCGGCACCGCCCATGGCGGAAGACTCTCGCGTGCCATCTCCTTTCGTGGAGCTAGTGTATGTGTTGATGGAAACGAGTGCGTGGGATGAAAGTCGGGAAATCGGTAGCGAGACGTGGAATCGACTGGCCAGGTGAGCCGTCAAGTGTGTATCCGACTGAAGATGGGTTGGCAGCGAAGGTAACGAAGGTTGGGTATGGGCCCCTCCACCCGTCCCCCCTACGGGAGGAAGGTTGAGCGCCATGATGAACGCGCTGCTGGGGGACTAGTATGTATAATACTCGATATGTCTATAGGACCTCTAGGTCGTCTGGTGAGAAGTGTACAGCGTCCAAGTCGTCGGCGTCTGGGAAGGGTTGGAGTTTGCTGTCAAGTCGTCGAGGGAAGGTTGACAATGGTGTGATTGGGAAGCTGTCGTCCGATGCCAATCAGATGAACAACCTGCCTCAGCGAAATATGCGACGCGCTAGGTGTGTATACAGGACGAAACAGTGACGACAGTGAGGCAAAACGAGAGACCAGATGCGACAATGGTAAACGAGCGTTAGAGAGGAGAGAAAAGATAGAACAACAAGGCTACTGAGCAGGCCGGGCGTTCCTTGGAAACGCTCGAGGCCTGTTCCGAACCTTTCTGTAATCCCCAGCAAAAGAGGGAAGTGTGTAGTGTACAGCGATGGATGCCGTGGCTAGGAACAAAACGGTGGGTAGGTAGTAGTAAGGTAGGTAGGTTCACACCGGCAGCGTCGCCTGCTGTCTGATGGAGGCTATGGAGCTGGTTGACTGGGGAAAGGGGATTCCAATGTTTTCTCTCAGGCCGGCGCTACGGCGGTCTGCAAGGGCCAGAGCTGCAATTCGGATCCATACGAAGTACCTGCCCCCGTCCAGCATGTGATTGGTCAGCACAAGGTACGGGCTTCTCCACGTCCAGAAGCCAGTGCGTGATTCAAGATATCGATCCAGCTCCAAAATTCTGAACAAGGGAACAAGGCGAAGAAATGCAAAGGCTTCAACTTGTTCCACTTCAGCCTCCATGGGCTGCCTGCCCTTTTGATGCGGGAGCACATCTTTTCGATCGGATACACCATCGGATTTGGGTCAGGTCTGTGTTGTCCTGACTCTTGGGACGAACTGGTGATCCTCTTTGGGAGCCCTGTCGAACGGTTCCAGAATCACGCCGGTGTATATACGTACCACAGCTGGATTTTCTCTTCCTCAGGGGCACTTTGACCCGGCTTGATTCTCTTTTGCCCGTTCTTCGCCCATTGCGGTCAGCAACCAGGAGCCCCCCCGGAGCGGATGGACGCCCTATGACAGCATTGCTCGATTGGATTTCGGAAGTCGAGGGCCCATGCCCGCGGTAATAAGCATGCGATAGTGTGTGCGCCTGTCTGGGGGATAGAAACACTAAAAATTGATTGACATGCTTTGTCCTTTCAGCCGCCTATGCTGTTACATATTCGGCTGCTATGCTAATATCGCATTTAGGTGCATTGTGCATTGTCTCACTCCCACTGGTCATTCTCCACTGTTGATGCCAAGGACATTATCTGTTGGTTCGTTGGTTTCTGCAAGCCCCATTCTACACTACCTTAACGAACGTGGTCGGTGTCAGGGACCGCCGAACCAGGCCCCTTGGAACATTTTTCACGTCTTCTTTTCTTCTCCAGGTTCGTTGCCAAATGGCTCACTGACTAGAGGTATTTTACCTGAGGGTGTCGCGGACGAATATGGCTTGTCTTGTGAGGTGTCCCGGCAAGATCTGTGGGGTGGCGTGCCCTTGGGAATACGAGAGTTGGGGAACAATGGGGTGGATTGGGTGGCCCCGGCCTGGTGCTTCTGGCTTTGCGCTGCAAGTCTCCTCGTAAGAATTGGAAATAGTAGCGTACAGCACGTGCTGGCGGTACCACCTCGTAGGGTTTGTGCGGTGCACCGTCTGCCGGTGTGCCGCGGTCCGGCGTAGTCGGTAAGTATGACGCCTTTTGGAGTCTCGCTTTTTTGTTAGTGTCGAGCCTCGGAAATTGGGTGGACGATGCGGTGACCAGTTTTCAGCTTCCAACGCGAAAGGTAAAGACCGTGGGATGAAATTGATTTCGTTGGCTCGACATCTTTGCGAAGAACTGATGGAAACTGTGTACAAGGTATCGCATGAGCATGGGATCTGTTTGCTTGAGGAAGAACAGCCCAGAACAGAAGCGCGAAGAATTTGGAGTTTCGGTCACTTAATGCTGGCAGCTCCAGGTGAGGTGCCTGGATCCCCGCCAAAGACCCCGCCATTACTGCAGGAGCGTTCGGGCGCTTTGCCAGGAGGGTGTCCGCCATGAGGAACAGGAAGGAGCGCGGTTGTTCATCACGCCTCCGCAGACCTGCACCAAAATCTGCCAAAATATAGGATGAGTTTAGTTTGCCCTAGTGTGCAGCGGTAAGACGAGTTCATCCGCTTTCCTTTGATCATGCCCCTGAATACGTTCCCGCTCTAGGTACGTTCAAATCGGCGTGATGCACATGACCTGATGTCGGTTCCGATATTTTCGTGGGGCGCATATGTTGTACATTACATCCCATCAGGATTGCATATATGGAACCCCCATCAACCTAACCACCAAATGACCAGGGTCGTACATTCAGTTTGTACTAGTATATGTAGAACATATAAATCCTTGGTGATGGCTTCGTGTTTCCACTTCCAAAAGACCAAAGGCAACGTCAACACAAAGGGCCGTTCGATGCCGGCCCTTCAACATCGTTTTTGCCCATGTTTCTTCCCCAATAGAGCTTGACAATGCAACGCGGCGCAGGCAAAAAGGGGTCGGCAAAAGGAGAACAACAGGCAACTAAAAAAAGAAAACTACCCGGTTGGAGGTGGCACATGGAGTGTGGAGCAGCCCCCTTTGAGAGTCTCTTTTTTTTCGCCGCATCTGCCTTGGCTGCCAAGCACGATATCTCTCCATCATTAGGTCACTACTGAGACAATTCATTGTATCGAGGCCTCCTGTCTGTTCGATGCCAGTCATAAAAGCGAGACGGCACGCAATTATACACCACGTACCAAGGCAGTGGAACATGTCTCATTATCATGCCCGGTTTTTGGGTTAATTGCCGACTGGATTCCATAAACGTGCAAGTGTCCCATCGTCACCTTTGACGTGTATTCCATTGTGCTTGTCGTCAATTTAATTGTCCATGGTTCTTGATGGCTGTCCACTTCCTAGAGGTTGCGAGGCGGGAGGGTTTTGTTGCACACATTCGCGGACCGCTGCGTCGGGCGCTGAGGTGGTTGAACAAGTCGAACGCACGGGACGGGAATGTTTGTAACATGTCGCTGATGTTCGGACAAGACACGAGATACCCCTCCAGCCCTTTTTCGTGTTCAGACTCTCGAGACCCAATGGAACTATGTATCCGTACGTCCAGTGCCTATACCTAGTCTAGTTTATGTAACATGCAACAAATCTAACGCCCGGGCGGGCTCGTGCTCGTGGTAGGGCGGCTGTGAATAAGCTTTTCTTGAATTCTCTACAATCTAACCCTGGTATGTTTGTTAGTTTGGTACAAAAAACGCCCATCTCCATTCGAGAGCCCCCGAAAGTGAAGAAGCGTTCGATTTTCCAGTGATTTTCAAACAGATAGGCACTAGATGGGGACTACCCTTTTATATTTTCCAAGCTTGGAGGTCTTCAGGAGACGGATGGAGGTATAAAAAGAGGCATTTGTGGCGTATTACACCCTGGTCATTGTTGGTCTCTCCAAACGAAAACTCCAAGGAAGCCAATAAGAGCTCTATATCTCCCCTGTTCAACCCATGGCTGAAGAACCAAACTAACAAACATACCAGTATTATATTGTACAGTAGCCAGTCATGAGCTTGGACCCTACTTTTAGACGTCAATTCGCAGCGAAACATGCCATTCCCAATGCGAGGTTCTCAGCTCGGCCTCTGTGTGAGGATGTGCACCATCATCTATCCACACACAATGACCGCAGACGGTGGGGCCCAAGTCTTGCAGTTATGTAGTTGGTGTTGTGAGGGCTCGTATCCGATTGTCATCCAGCATCCCGTGGCCGTCCGGCACTCCGCCGAACGGGAGAGCCGTACCAACGCAGTGCGCCGTAAGCGAACGAGAATCCAAAGGCGAGAATCTCATTTGACCATCGTCCTTCCAAGCAGGCGTTGGGGTCGATCAAGTCTGGCCATCTCACACTCGACCAGCATTCCCTTCTTCAGCACAAAATCAGGTGGATGCGGTACAGGGCCTCAGGGCTCAACGGGGGAGATCCAATCATTGAGGCGAAAAATGGTTGCGGATCCTGGCATGAAAATCACTGGAAAAGGGAACGACGGAGTTCCATAAACAGGCCTGATACACCCGATACAACCAAACTGAAGCAGTGCAACAGCGCCTCACAAAGGAGCAAGGCTGTGAAAACGTAGCAGGATGTTTTGCAATGCACATATGGACTGATAACACCAAGAACGAGAAGCTCATGGTGGCACCGCAGGAAGGCGGTCGGCAAAAGCGGAAATAGGGACAACTGAAGTTTAACAAACAAAGATCGCATAATTGCATTTTTCCATCAGTAAGCCCTTCCCTCTTGGCCGACAGGGAACAATCTCGCTGGTAATTACGTTCCAGATCGACGTACCCAAACCGGGCCGGGGTGATTGTCGCGGGCGCTCCGTACATGGATCATGGGCATCCTGCCTCCACTGGTGAGTGAATTGGGATTGGTGTATTTTCCCGGCGAGTGCTGTAAACCGCCGTACGGACACAATTCTCCACCCCCCCACGGAGTTCTGTTGTTGCTCTCTTCGCGATCCCCTGCGAATGTGGTGATTTTTTTCCAGGCTTCTCCAGTGGGTGATGGGGTCACCTACGAGCAGCCCCAGCAGCAACAGGTAGCGAAGGGAAATCCATTCATTCCATGCATTTCCACTCTGGATCGCCCAGTCTGGTGGTGGTTGACCCCCTCTTCAGACCTTTCAGACCGTTCCAATTGATAGCCCAGGTGTGGTTCGAGCCGAGCAAGCTGAGCCTCCCTGCCACTACTACCATAGGTAGCCTGTGAGAATTGTCGCTGTTTCCTTCCACCCGCCGACCCCATCATCTTCCACCAAAACTTCACCCCATCATCATCCACTCGCTTCGCTGGGTTGTCGCTTCCTTGTCTCTGTCCGCTCTTGCCCATCCTCCCCCATTCTCGCTTTACACTAGCGTAGAGGTAGTGTACACCCCCCTTCGGTCACTCGCTTTCCCCCCCTGTACCTTACCTACCGCCGCCTGCTGCCTGCCCCTGCTGCTGCTACTGCTGCTGCTGCTGCTGCTAGCTGACGGGCAGCTAATCTGCAACATTCCGGATTTTTCGAAATCCGTTTCCTTTGCATCCCGTCGCAGGAACTCGACTTCACCTGCTGTCTGTCACTGTCACCGCACCGCTTTGCATGATTGCTTGTCGTTGACGTTGGCCGCCTTCACTCGCTTTGGTGGTTCTCTTCGTCCGATCTTTTGCGCGATCGGTGTCCGTCGTCTCTCGTTTCGGTGCCATCTTCATCTAATAATACCATACACTACTACCACTACCACTACCACTACCACTACCAAGCAGACGGTACCAAAAGACACGGTTGAAGCATTTGGCAGAGGATATTGACTATCGAAACATCCACTACTGACCAGAGCTGAAACAACCACACGCGAAGCCTCAATCGCACAATTACTCGGCCATCATCGATACTGTACACACACTTCGACCACCACCACTCGTTCGCATCGCTGTCCTTGTCGGTGAGAATAGGCGTGGGCCAAGTCTACGCTCTTGTTCCCCCCAAGGGGCTCCCGGAATCCATCTGACACTTTGCCGTCATCCCAACAACACACCATGGCGAACCGCATGTCAATGTATTCCATGGCCTCGGACGCCGGTATGGGCGGACGGGGTCCTGGTCAGCAACAGCCATCCCAGGTCTCAACCACGACTCTCCTCAACTCCGTACACAACATCTACCTCTCTTCACAACCATACCGTCTGGACGCCGGCACAAGTCTCGTCGTCAACACATGGCTTACGGCCTCCCAAGCTGGTCCCGATGGTCACGTTGGTGGAACCGTTGATGGCGCTCTGGCTTTAAGGGCATGGGAGCACGCTCGCCGCCGTGCTGAGGATGGATGTATCATTCTTGGGTATGTCCTTGTTTGACCTACACACCTTGTCTGGTACTAACAGGTGAATGACTGCTAGATCACTGCACAACTCGACTCCTTCGCTCTTGCGACCCTTCCTGTCCACCATTCCCCTTGAGATCCCTGCCTCGGTGTACAAAGCACTCGATGCTATTGAACCGTTCCTTCGCTGTGTAACCCCTTACAACCCCTCCACTCCGAGACAGACCGGCTTGGCCGTCACCTTGACCCTCAACCTTACAGGCAACCTTACTGCCGCCTCACTCTCGCTCACACAAGGTGGTATCGACACCGACAAGGGCTTGTTGGGTGTCCCCTCTGAGCCTGGATTCAGGGCCTTTGATGTCTTTTACTACCTGCTCACCACGGCCTCTACCCCTGCCGAAAGAGAGTTCCTTGGGCTCAAGGCCGCGTCTCAATACAGCCTTCTCGCCCGGTCCGGCACCTACGATCCCCCATCCTATCTTCCTACCGCCGATGATGGTGCCGCTGCCGACGACTTCAGGTCTGCCCTCAAGGACATCGGCATCAAGGGCTCTTCGCACCGCAACCTCATCTCGATCTTGGCCGGCCTCCTCAAGCTCGGCAACACACTCGATTACAATGTTGACCAAGAAGTTTTGGAGGAAATATGCGAGGATGTCGGTGGACTTCTTGGTATCGAACCCGAAATTCTTGCCAGGCAACTCAGCACCGACGACCGGGCGACCTTGATCGGAGGACTCTATGAGGCTTTGGTCGATTGGGTCATCAAGAAGGCCAACGATGCTATTGCCGTGCAGATGGGTAGATCCAAAAATGGCGATGACTCTAGCGACGGTGCCTCCCGGAGTGGTGCGCCCACTTCCAACGAGGACAGTGGCGATACTGTCTGCCTCACTGTCCTCGAGATTCCCGACCAAAACTTGGGCAAGGCTATTGCCATGCGGGGCATCTTCGACGACACTCAGGGTATCAACTCGGAAATGAAGGCTGACGGCGTCGAGGTGGTTCCCGTTTCCAGCTCGGTTGTGCGGGAAATGCAGAGTGCTGTTGCAGAGTGTGGTCCTGATCTGGGTATTATGGTTGGCTCGGTTGGCCGGGAAAGGCAACGCCTGATTGAGAAGCGCGAGGAAATCTTGGAAAAGACTGCCTTCGCGTCAGAAGATGAGGGTTTCTTGAGGAAGCTCTTGCTCCCGGTTCCCACCGAGGGTATCAACCTCGGCCGTACTGGCCGTGTGGATGTTGCGGATCTTTTGAACCGCAGTCGTGCTTGGTATCACCTCTGCATCCACCCCACAGACGACTCACCTTCTAGTCTCGCTGCCCTTCCTGCCGTCAACTCAGCCTGGTCAGCTGGAGCTGTTTCTCGTCAGCTCCGCACCTGGAGGCTGTCCGAGTGGGCCAACAGACGCAATAAGCACATTGACTACACGGCCGATTTTGATCACCATGAATTTACTCAGCGGTATCGGCCTCTGGGCTGTATGGATGGCCGTGACGGTATCGAGAGCTGGATCCTGGAGCGGGGCTGGAGCAACGGCGAGGTTGTTGTGGGCAACGAGAGGGTATGGATGAGGGAGAGCGCCTGGTGGGAAGCCGAAAGTATGTTGGACCTGAAGCCCATGGAAGCTGAGAGGCTCAACAGCATGCGCAACCTGATGGCCCCAGGGGTCATGGGCTCGGGCTATTCTCACAACGGAAGCGGCTTCTTCCCGCCTCAGGTACCTGCTGACCATATGCGTTCTCCCTTTGCCGATGGAACCTCCAACGGGAGCTACGATCACCTCGCTCTGGGTGGTAATCTTAGCCAAAACAACCTCAACCCGAGCCCCGTGCGTGCTCCATCCGTTGCCCCTACGAATATGACTGGCATGCGCAGCGGTGATTACGGTCTTGGTCCCAAGGGCGATCAATACAAGGGACAGGTCTTCTACAACGCTGAAGGCCAACTGGTTTCGGAATTAGAGCCCGACCTTGCTGAGGGCAAGAAGATCGAGGAGCGACCTATCTCCTCCCAAAGGAAAATCTGGGTCTTTATTGTTTGGGCTTTGACGTGGTGGATTCCATCGCCATTACTCAAGTTCGTCGGTCGGATGAAGCGGCCTGACGTGCGTATGGCATGGCGTGAGAAGTTTGTTCTCTGCCTCATTATCGTTATTCTCAACGCTATCATCGTTTTCTGGATTATCTTCTTCGGTCGTCTTCTCTGCCCCAATTTTGACAAAGCCTGGACCTCGGAAGAAATTGAGAATCATGCGGCAGAGGATGACTTCTGGGTCAGCATTCACGGCAAGGTTTACGACATCACCAAATTCTGGAGATTACAGCACAGCGACAACAACATTGACACCACGTCGGATGTAATGATGCCGCTTGCTGGCCAAGACCTCTCCGCTTACTTTGTCCCGCCTCTCTACATTTCCTGCCCCGGCCTCGGCATCGCGGATACAACTACGTTGCAATTCAACACTACCCCTGAATATGTTGTGGCCCAGCATATCTCCGGCCCAACGCAGCCTAATATTCGGAGCAAGCTCTCTGAAAGATACTGGTATACCGACAGATTCTTGCCCGCCATCAAGGAGTATTACCATGGCGACGTGGTTTGGGATTCCAAGAAGATTAAGCAGGAAGGCCTAGATTGGAATCACCCGTGGTTCATCTACGAGGATCTCGTTTACGACATGACCGATTACATGTACACCGCCAAACGTATGAATAACGATGCTACATACACATTCATCGACGCCAAGATCACCAACATGGTCAAGAACAACCCCGGCCAGGACTTGACCGAGCAGATTAACGACCTGATTGATCGCGCCAGTAGCAACCAGACCCAGTATGAGAGTGTTATGAACAGTCTTAACTGTGTCAAGAACACGTTCTACATTGGCAAGCCCGATTTCCGTTATTCGGCCAGGTGTCAAGTCAACAACTACATCTTGCTTGCATTTTCCATTATTATCTGCAGTATCATCGTGGTCAAGTTCGTGTCGGCTCTTCAATTTGGATCCAAGAGACGCCCTGCTCCCCAGGACAAGTTTGTCATCTGCCAGGTGCCCGCTTATACCGAGGGTGAAGACTCGCTGAGGAAAGCCCTGGACTCTTTGACAGCCCTCCAGTACGATAACAAGCGGAAGCTGATCTTTGTTATCTGCGACGGTGTCATCGTCGGTGCTGGCAACGACCGTCCTACTCCCAAGATCGTCCTCGATATTCTCGGTGTTGACCCCAAGGTTGACCCACCTGCCTTGGCCTTCAAATCCGTCGGTACTGGAGCCGAACAGCTCAACTACGGCAAGGTCTACTCTGGATTGTATGAATTTGAAGGGAACGTGGTACCTTATATCGTGGTTGTCAAGGTCGGCAAGGAGTCTGAGCAGTCCAAGACGAAGCCCGGTAACCGTGGTAAGCGTGACTCGCAGATTCTGCTCATGAGCTTCCTCAACCGCGTCCATCACCGTGCGCCCATGAATCCCTTGGAACTGGAAATCTTCCACCAGATCAACAACATCATTGGTGTGGATCCCGAACTTTACGAATACCTCCTCATGGTCGATGCCGATACCTGCGTTCGCGAAGATTCTCTCAACCGCCTAGTGGCTGCCTGCGCCAATAACGCCAAGATTGCCGGTATTTGCGGTGAAACCAGTTTGCAGAATGAGGATCTTTCGTGGTGGACCATGATCCAGGTTTACGAGTACTATATTTCTCATCATCTAGCGAAGGCTTTTGAGTCTCTCTTTGGCAGCGTTACCTGTTTGCCCGGTTGGTAAGTTTTGCTGTCCCTCCACTCACTGATTGTTGTAGGCAATACTGACAATTCAATAGTTTCACCATGTACCGCTTGCGTACTGTTGACAAGGGAAAGCCGCTCATTATCTCGGATGATATTATCCGCGAGTACAGCGATTGCTATGTTGACACCCTCCACAAGAAGAACCTGCTCTCGCTTGGTGAGGATCGTTTCCTCACCACGCTCATGACCAAGCACTTCCCATACATGTCTTACAAGTTCATTCCCGATGCCTACTGCCAAACGGCCGCCCCCGAGACTTGGAGCGTTCTGCTGTCTCAGCGTCGTCGTTGGATCAACTCAACCATCCACAACTTGGCTGAATTGATCTTCCTCGATGAAATGTGCGGTTTCTGTTTCTTCTCAATGCGCATTGTCGTCTTCATCGATCTCTTCGGTACTATTATTCTTCCCGCCACTTGCGTCTACATCGTTTATCTCATTTATACGGCCTCCTCCCACACTGGACCGTTCCCTCTTCTTTCGATCATCATGATTGCGGCCGTGTACGGTCTCCAGGCGCTCATCTTCATCCTCAAGCGCCAATGGCAGCACGTGGGCTGGATGATCATCTACCTCCTCGCCTTCCCCATCTACTCCTTCATCCTGCCCATCTACTCGTTCTGGCATCAGGATGATTTCGCCTGGGGTAATACGCGCGTTGTCATTGGTGAAAGCGGTAAAAAGCAAGTTGTCGCTGTCGACGAGGAGGGCTTCAACCCCCGTGCCATTCCTCTCCAGCGCTGGGACGAATATGCCCTCGCCAACAACCTTCCCGGTCGTCGCGGTGGCCCTCTTGAGAAGGGTATGGACGAGCACCTGGGCGGTATGTACGAGGAGACCTACGAGGTCGATGACATGAAGTCGGTCTACTCTTCGGTCCGCCAGCCGTCCGTTCTTACTGGGTTCGGTGGTCGCGGTGCCGGAGCTTACATGCCCCCTCACAGCCCTGGTTTCCCGCCCAACGGCGGCGGTAGCGGCGCCATGACCCATGCCAGCACCTTTGTCGGCGCCTCCCCCTTCACCGAGCAGAACAACCTCATGAACCGTCAGAGCATGGCCTCGATGGGCACCATGGTCGAGATGCAGCGCCGCGCCAGCCCGTACCAGGACTTCCCTGGCGGTCATAGCCGCGGCCCCAGCCAGGGTGCTATGCGGTCCATGACCAACACGCCTCCTGCTCTCGGCGCCGGCGGCATGGTCAACGCCCGCCTGTCCACGGCCACGGGCATGAGCCTGGGTATTCCTGGACACCGTCCCGGCATGAGCCATTCGGAAAGTTCGCGGTCGTTTGACTTCCAGCGCAGCACTCCCGGCCCCGATGACCAGATGATCATCGAGGCCATCCAGGGCGTGCTCCGCGAGGTTGATTTGGACACGGTGACGAAGAAGCAGGTGCGGGCGCTGGTGGAGCAGCGGTTGCAGACGGAGTTGGTGGGTGAGAGGAGGACGTTTATGGACAGGCAGATTGATAATGAGTTGGCGAACATGTGAAGTGGAAACATGTGATCTGATACATGAAGGATGGAACCTGATTTCATGTCATAATGGATGCCGGGTATTGAAGTGACATGGATTGGATGGGTTTTTGGATCATTTATCGTTTGTTAGTGGTTGAGACAAAAAAATATTAATGGATATAGTAGCATAGACACTATCTTTTTTTTGGAATACTTCGTAATTTCTTGGCTTTAAGTTTTATTGCATAGTTATATCATATCATAGCAATGTATCTTTGCATTTGCACCCACGACGAAGCTGAGTTTCTAATTTGTTGGTCAATGGTTGATGTTTGGTTGGCGTCATTAAGGAAAGGCACGATGAGGAATATGAATCTTGGGTGTAAATGTTGAGTTCGAAATCAACCAAGTAACATCGAATCGCGTTTCAAACCTCGTCCATCTCACTGGTCGATTCGCCTTGAACCATGAGCAGGAATGAACACAACAGTCTATTCTCCAGATTTGACGCGTTGAAGTCATATTTCTATGGACCCTCTTTCAAATCTCCTAGCCAAATACTATATACTCATAACCGGCAGGGCAACTTGACATGCGATCTATAACAGCGTACCGACCGACCGACCGACCGACCGACCGAACCAGATATATGTAGTTTGTACACTCAATATTCGATCTTACCCACCCCTTTCAACCTCAAGTACACATCCGTGCCCCATCCGTACAAACTCTGCACCGCAATCCCTCCCCCAAAGTACTCAGCATACGCCCTACTCAGCGGCAACCCATACCCCAGCCCGGCAATTGTGCTCCCGCCCACCCCCGTATTCGAAATCAGCCCCATGGCCTCCTCCCCCCACGCCCCCGGCGACTCATGATGATCATCATCATCCGCGTCGTTAAACGTTGTGAACGAGTATCTCCAAATATTCGGCAACACGGCCGGGTTAATGCCTCCTCCCCTATCTCTGATCCTGATCGTCACCCCGGGCGCACGGTCATGTAGCGGGATGATGCCATGCTGCGCTTGTTTTTGTTGTTGTTGTTGCGCTGCTGCTTTTCCTTGTTGACTCGAAGAAATCGAAATCGAATTCGAATTCGAAGAAGAAGAAGAAGAAGAAGAAGAAGAAGAATTCTTTTGGGAAGAATTAGGAGGGCAATAATCCGAGTAAACACCGGGTGTCGCCGCGCTGGCGGAACTGCTAGCCGGCTCGGGCGCAATGGTTACTACGACCGGCTCGCGGCTCATGCCGTTTTCCACGGTCGCTCTGAACGCGTTCTTCAAGAGTTCCGTGACAATGTACTCGAGGTGCATGGGCACAAACGCAAAGGTGGCGTCCGGCTCGCCGTCCACCACCCACTCGGGGCGCACGCCGTAGTTAAGCTCGCAGATGTCGGCGACAAAGTCACCGCACGAGTCGATCACGCTGGCGGGCCGCAGGGTCGTGTCAATGACGCCGATGTAGGACGGGTGCGTCTTGGGCTCTGGACAGAGCGTGGGCGAGGCTTCCGGGTCGAAGTGCGGCGTAGAGCTGTAGTGCAGAGCTATGTGCTGCTCGGCTACCAGGCGGGTGCCGATGCGCGCGCGCAGGTGTTCATCGAGGAAGCGGGTCACTTCGCTAGGGGAGATGTACTTGCGGCATTCGATGAAGCCCTTGGCCAGGATGGGAATGGTGTCGGTGTGGGTTTGGACGAGCTCGGCGAGGACCTGGGTGAATTTGATCTCGTCGTCGAGCGAGCTGATGGTTTTGCCTTGCCAGGGGAGCAAGGTCGAGAGCGAGTGCTGGTAGTTGTTGTAGATGCGCGAGATGTTGGGGTTAGAGACGACGATGTAGGGCAGGTTGCGCAGGGCTTGGATGCGGTGGGCGAGGCGGATGGGGAGCAGGGAGAGGGTGAAGCGCGCCGAGGAGAGGAGGGCTTCGGCGGAGAGAGGGGGGCGGCCGTGTCTGGGAGAATGAAGCCATTGTTAGGTCAACGCCTTGGATAAAGTGGAATTGGTTGTTTACTTGACAAGATCGGCCAGACTCAGCTGGTGTAGAGGCTGGTTAGCCAGCCATGGGACTTTGTCCTCTAGCTCATGGCGACTGCTGAGCGGGCGGTCGTAATGGGGTCTCGCGATATTCTGGTTCAGGATGGAATAGAGTCTCGGGTAGTTTGAGGAGCTCAAGGAGGCCTTGAGAGGGCTGGGAAACCTCGACGGCCTCGCGATGGATTTCATGTCGGCATGTTGTGCGGTCGCGGGTTTCTGTTACGAGACTGAATTTGGGACTACAACGTACTTCCAATTTTGGTGCAACAGGAAGTACGTAGTTGTAGGGTCCGGTGGAGAGTGCCGTGTTGCTTCAGTTCGTTGTCATTCGATGGTGTGTGTGTGCGCGGGACGGCGATCAGCGCCGCGATGGGATGACATAGGTAGCAGTCAGCGCTGAAACAGGGTTATCGTGGTCCAATCGATACGCTAGGCGATAAGGGGCTGCCCACAGGCCGCCGCTGCTTGGAGTTGGAGCACCTTGAGGGCTGGGCTGGGCTGAGGAGTGCTTCCGGGCACTTGCTTTGGCTGTGCTGTCTGGGTGCTGTCGGTTGCTCTCTCCTCCATCCAGCATGACGCATCCCCATTGCAAGTTCGGACTTCCTGGTTGAACACATACTAGGCACAGTCAGTCACACGGTTCAAGTTAAGTTGTACAAATTGAAATCTTTCTTTGAATTCATAACAGTCATCAAATGGCCGCCTTTATCTGTTCCAGTGGAGAGTGTCACTGGAACGACAGCGAAACACCGGCATGTAAGCCCCGGGCCCCCTGTCGCTGTCAACACTAGGTAACCTCCGTCTCGCTGTTACCCCGCGATTGGTGCCCCGCATGAGATCCATCACCAGATCATGCTCCTCTCTCTGAGCAGGCGACTGGCGTCTCATCCTATATCTGTCCTTCCCGTTCAAATATCATGTCATTCGCAATGTTGTTTGTTGTCCTTGACGCCTAATGCTTCAAACATGCTGTTGAAATCGGATGCGCTCTTTTACTGGGTCCTGACCTCCTGGTCGGCCTCGACGCCCTTGACGTGCTCGTGGTTCTCAAGGGTGGAAACAGAGCCCTCGGGATAGATGGCCCTGTAGTGAAAAAAGAGAGGGTCAGCTCTTGTGTCTAATTCTGAAGACGGAGGCTGTCATACTGGAAGGCCTTGATGAGGGTGTACTCGTGGCCAATCTTGCCGCCCTGCGCCTTGACGTCCTCCTTGGTCTTGGCGATCTCCTCATCGGTAGCGGTGTCCTTGAGGGTAACCTGACATGGTGAACAGGTCAGTAAGAGTCTTATGGGTAGTGTGAGGCGCGAGTGCGGCATGCTTACAATGTAAGAAGGCATCTTTGCGGTGGTGGGAGGGTTGTCTGGTGAAAAGGCTGGTGTTGCTGTATGGAAATATTGAAACAGAGTGTAGTGGTTGGTCGTGAACTTGGAGAGTCGGTACTGCGTCTCGAGGAGCGGACGAAGGAGCATCTTATACGTGATCAAGGGACATGCACAAGTGGACTCGAACTACCTACACCACAGATGCACATGTGCCAGATAAGCGGCAATCATGCTAGATTGGTCTTCCTGCCACGCCGTCAGGAGCCACAAGTGACGCGGCACCAGGGACATTAGCATTCTCTGGAGCGGGTGATACGTCATATCCACTTGGACCAGACTTGCTGCGCCTACCGCAGGTCGTTTTGTGACTTGTGACACTCTGTTGGCTGCCAGGCGTGGGGATGACAGAGACAATCCTCCATCTCAGCGCCCAACAAGACAGCCTTGCACACGATCACCTAACGAGCGCTTAGGCGCGGGCTGAGACACTAAGAGTGGTGTGGGAGGATGGATCCAGCCATCTTCCAACCATCTTACTACTTAGGATCGTGCATGTTACCTGTCTGTTGTAACTCTGAGCCTATACGCCATACCCTCCTTATGTGTGTAAATCGGAGACAATTACGTATGTAACCCTCAAAATGGTGTGTTATGCAAGAGGGGATGCCATGGCTGTTTGACTTTGCGGGCCCATTCGACATTCCTCGGTCGAGGCCGTAAGTCATCAACTCGCTCTGTCATGGTCTCGACTCTTCTTCAACCGTTAGGTTTTGTTGGCGGTCCCTGAACAATCCAATGCATTTACATAGCGTGGTATGTAGTCTCCACCAGTGAGGAAGGGCTTGGTACAATAGAGGTATTTAGGTTGGTCGACCATCCAACGGAATATCTTCGTATAAGCCTCTGGAAATAGTTACTCCGAAGACACAGCTCACTCAGTAGTTGGCTACGGTATACGTTGGGTTCGTCTGTTGTTCAAGGTTCCAAGACTTGAAGGTCGGGAGTCGGGACTGCCTGTCAGGGTCTCCAACTCCCCGCATGCTGCCGGGCATAGGTCCCGTCCCGTCGCCTGCCGAAAAGCGGTCCCACCATTCAGGTATCTTATCGCTTATCGATAAACATCTTGGCGGTCCATCAGAAAACCGACTATCCAAAAAATTTGGACAGCAGCTTTTTGGCAGTTGAATTGGGAGCGAGTCCCGTCGCATTTCCACTTACACCTGCTTTCGCGACCGCGTGTCCATCCATACTACTGAACTTGCAAAAAGTTCACGGACACCAGCCGTAATCATGGCCGACGTCCAAGCTCACAAACCCCATCGGGCTTCCAAGAAGTCCAAGGAGAAGGGGGCCTCCAAGCATACAGGTGGTATGTGTATCCAATTGTTACTTTTATCGTCACTATTCACAGCTGACCGTCCCTGTAGAAAAGAACCCCAAGGCCTTTGCCTTCTCCAACCCCGGTAAACTTGCCAGACAAGCCGCCAGATCTCACGATGTAAGAAGACATTCCATTGCTCCATCCTTCCATACCCCTTTCAATTAACTGGTCTTGTCCCACAGATCAAAGAGAAGCGTCTTCACGTCCCCGCCGTCGACCGTCTCCCCGATGAACCACCCCCAAGACTCGTCGCCATCGTAGGCCCCCCTGGTGTAGGAAAGACCACCCTTCTCAAGTCTTTCATTCGACGATATGCAAAGGAAACCATCCAAGATCCGGTGGGACCTATCACGGTCGTCACCTCCAAGAAGCAGAGATTGACCTTCATCGAATGCGCCAACGAACTCGAGGCCATGGTCGACATTGCAAAGGTCGCCGACATTGTCCTTCTCATGATCGATGGAAACTTCGGCTTCGAGATGGAGACTATGGAGTTCCTTAACGTCCTCGCCGCCACGGGTATGCCCGGCAACGTCTTTGGCATCCTCACCCATCTCGACCTGTTCAGGAAGCCTCAAGCACTAAAGGAGGCAAAGAAGAGGTTAAAGCACAGACTTTGGAGCGAACTCTACCAGGGTGCCCACCTTTTCTACCTTTCCGGTGTCCTGAACGGCCGTTACCCCGATCGCGAAATCCACAACCTCTCCCGCTTCTTGTCCGTCATGAAGAACCCCCGCCCGCTCGTTTGGCGCAACTCCCACCCTTACACCATCATCGACAACTACCGTGATGTCACCCACCCCACCCAGATCGAAGAAGACGAGAAATGCGACCGAACGATTGAACTCTCCGGTTACCTCCGTGGTACGAACTTTTCCGCCGAGGGCCAAAGGGTACATATTGCTGGTTTAGGCGACTTTACAATCAAAGAGATGGAACAATTGCCGGATCCTTGCCCGACTCCCGCTATGGAACAAGCGCTGGCCAAGGCCAGTGGCAAGACTGGCAGAAGGCGACTCGACGAGAAGGACAAAAAGCTCTGGGCGCCCATGGCGGACCGCAGCGGCTTGAAAATTACTGGTGATCACATCGTTATCACTAGGGAGAACGGCTTCACATTCGACAAGGATGCTGTGGGCGTTGAGCGCGGCGAAGGAGAACAGCTCATCATCGACCTGCAGAACGAGAGGCGTCTCCTTGGTCAAACGGACGAGGGTGTCAAGCTGTTCGCGAGCGGACAAAAGATCAACCAGCTCCCTGTCGAGGACGAGGATGTCGGAAACACTGGCCGCAAGAGCCGAAGAACCGCCAGACTTGCCGATGGCGAGAGTGGTGAACCACCTGAGGACGAAGGCTTCGAAAGCGGAGAGGAAGATGAGATGGAGGATGGATCCGATGTCGAGTCCGAGTTCAACGAGATGAAGCTGGGCAAGATGTTCAGGAAACAGACCGACGACGACCAAGAAGAGGACATCGCCTTTGCCGACAGTGACTCCGACCTTGGTTCGATATCCGGCGATGAAGACCAAGGATCCGACTTTGACGATGACGAGGACGACGAGGAGGATCCTGAGCTCAAGTGGAAGGACAACATGATGGAGCGCGCAAGTCAGATACACGGAAGGAGGAAACCCTTCCGCGCTGTCGACTTGGCGAGGTATATGTACGACGAGTCGATGGCCCCTACAGAAGCCATCAAGAAATGGGCCGGTCAAGACGAGGAGGAGGACATTGAAGAGGATATCGAAGAGGACGACGATACCTTCTTCCGGAGGACTGGCAAGGAGGACAAGGAGGACTCTTGGGAGGATCGCATGATTCCCAAGTTCGACTACGAACAACTAGAAGCCAAGTGGTCTGACAAGGACGCTGTCGAGGCCCTCCGAAACAAGTTCGCCACCGCCAACCTACTTGACGACGCTGAGGGTGAGGGCGAAGATGGTTCGGATTTCGAGGGTCTTAATGACGAGGACGAGGACGACGAAGGTGACGGTGCTTTTGAGGATCTCGAGACAGGGGAGAAGCACGGCGCCGACGACGAGGATGAAGAAGAAGAAGAGGAAGAAGAGGAGCAGCCAGCAGAAAGCCTCGAAGCTGAGCGTGAGAAGAACGCCCGCCGAAAGGAGGAGCTCAAGCTTCGCTTCGAAGAGGAAGATCGTGAAGGTTTTAAGAACGATAAGGCGATTGCTAGGCGAGAAGGTGGCAATGATGACGAGTTTGGAGAGGACGACTGGTATGATGCCCAAAAGGCCATGATCCAGAAGCAGCTGGACATCAACAAGGCGGAATACGAGAACCTTGATGAAAGCCAAAGGATCGCTGTCGAAGGCTACAAGGCCGGCAAGTACGCCAGGATGGTCATCGAGGGTGTCCCAGCAGAATTCGTCAAGAATTTTAAGCCACGGATGCCGATCGTTGTCGGAGGTCTTTCGGCCACGGAGGACAGATTCGGCTTTGTGCAAGTTAGAATCAAGAAGCACCGTTGGCACAAGAAGATTCTCAAGACGGGAGATCCCCTCATCTTCTCCCTCGGCTGGCGCCGATTCCAGTCTCTTCCCATCTACTCCATCTCTGATTCTCGGACGAGAAACAGGATGCTGAAGTATACTCCGGAGCACATGCACTGCTTCGGTACCTTCTACGGCCCCCTGTGTGCCCCCAATACGGGTTTCACATGTTTCCAGTCCTTCTCTTCCGCCAACCCCGGGTTCCGTATTGCGGCGACCGGTACAGTACTGAGCGTAGACGAGTCTACCGAGATCGTCAAGAAGCTCAAGCTGGTATGTTACCCTCCGCCTATTGTGTATGGTGTTTTTGATGCTAACAACTCGTCCAGACCGGCACACCATACAAGATCTTCAAGAACACGGCCTTCATCAAGGACATGTTCAATTCGGCGCTGGAAATCGCCAAGTTCGAGGGTGCCTCCATCAAGACCGTCTCGGGTATCCGCGGTCAGATCAAGCGCGCACTCGCCAAGCCCGACGGCCACTTCCGTGCCACCTTTGAGGACAAGATCCTGCTCAGCGACATTGTCTTCTTGCGCGCGTGGTACCCCATCAAGCCGCACCGTTTCTACAACCCGGCCACCAACCTGGTCGGCTGGCAGAGCATGCGTCTCACGGGCGAGGTCCGCCGCGACCAGAACATCGCCACGCCGCTCGACAAGAACTCGCAGTACCGCAAGATCGAGCGCGAGACCCGTCGGTTCAACCCTCTTCGTGTGCCGCGTGCCCTCGCGGCCGAGCTGCCCTTCAAGTCGCAGATCATCCAGACCAAGAAGCAGAAGAAGGAGACGTACATGCAGAAGCGTGCGGTCGTCGTCCGCGGCGAGGAGAAGAAGGCGCGCGATCTCATGCAGAAACTCACGACGATCCGCAAGGAGGTGGTGGAGAAGCGCAAGGCCAAGAAGGCGGAGCAGCACGAGAAGTACAAGAAGAGCCTGGAAGAGGCCGAGGAGCGGATCAAGAGCAAGGAGAAGAAGGAGAAGAAGGCGTATTGGGAAAGGGAGGGTAAGAAGCGTGGTCCTAGCGGCGACCAGGGTGGTGGTGGTAAGAGGAGGAGGTAAATGTTGTTGTCAAGGGGAAAATAATTGCTTGTTTGTTTCAGTCATCATTGTCATCATCATCGCCTGGGTTCACTTTTGGGAGTACTACTACTACTACTACTGTATATAGAGAGGCATCCACATCCATCGATTCATACCCGGGAAAGAAATTGTTTCTTTTTTGCTAGCACGAGCGAAAAGCATTGGTTGAGATATTCGCTAGTTGGTTGGTGGGTGGGTGGTCCTAGAAGTACTTGTTCGTGTGTGGGTGTGTTTTAGGGGTTGCATTGTAGCACAAATTGTTAGTGCATACTTGCCACTTGCCTCTGTTGCGGATTGCTCGATTTGGTTCCACTGTTCACGACGACAACCTCATAGTTTCGTTTCACGGCAACAACACTCACTCGCCTTTTTCCCCAATCATCTATGTGCCCTATTCAAGCGTTCACTCAATTCTCAGTCACAATCTCGGAACACACAGCACGATTTACCCAACGACCAACAATATGCTCACCTTGACCACTCGTCAATCCGTACATCACCTCCCCTCATCACTTCCCCGAGTCCTCCTCCTACCCATCATAGCCACCAAACGCTTCCTATCCTACACAGCCAAGACATCATCTCTGTCCTTGACAACTCCCATCACCACCCGCAAACTCCTTCTTTTCCCATCCCCAAACTTCAACAACCTCCAGAAAAGATCCCTCCACCTAGCACCTCCCTTCCTCCTCGACGACTACACGCCTCGCTACCTCCAGTTATCTGAAGTCGACGCGGCTAAGAAACGATCGCAAGCATATGCTCACCTGGCCAAGTGCAACTTGTGTCCGAGAAAATGTGGAGTGAACAGATTTGAGAAGACAGGGTGGTGCTTGATTGGGGAGAAGGCGAAGGTTAATGTTATTGCGCCGCATTTTGGGGAAGGTGAGTTTCTTGTTTTGTTGTTTGGTATTCTTCTTCTGTTATCAATGTATTTTGATCTGTGTTTTCCCATTACCATTTGTTTGGTTTTTGGATGTTTGGCTATCAGGGTCCGGAGGGTCTGGAGGGAGGACCTCGTGGCGGATGCGGATGCGGGAGCGGATGCGGATGCGGATAATGTTCAGTTCAGAAGCAAATTGTTCTGGGGTTCTTGGTCACTCAGTCAGTTCAGTCTGTTGGGATTGTTCATCAGTCTAGGTGTACACACTGTGATGCTGGCAAGGGGCAGGTTTGGGGGCATAGCGGGTAATTGGGTGTCATAACCGCGCAAGGGAGAGAAGAGGGCGGTTCGGGGTATCCGAAAGAGTCAAGAGGAGGGATTGATGAGTGTCATTGGATGGGAGCTTCCGTGAAGATGATGAAAGAAGGGGTTCCTTCTCCTTGCCACGTTCGATCTAGAAGAAAGAACACGGCAGAGTGGTGGCTTCAGGTGGCTTGCTTGCTTTCTCTCAGCATCATCATCATGTAAGGGACGGGAAAAATTGACTGAAGTCATTTGTGACCACAGAACCATGCATTCAGGGACATCATGGGAGTGGTTCGGTTTTCTTCAGGTGCGTACTTGTCATGATGCAACCGAGTAGGAACCAAGGAGAATAGCATTAGACTAACTACGATGTCGCGAAAGCATGTGTAACCTCCGCTGCGTCTTCTGCCAAAACCACGACATCTCTCACCAACGAAACGGCATGGATTTGACTCCCGAAGAGCTAGGTGACTGGTACATGAAGCTGCAAGAAGTCGGAAACGTGCACAACATCAACCTTATTACCCCTGAACAGTAAGTCCATGTCCTACCTACGTTCCCGCCTCCCCAGCATTGACCCCAGATTTTGGCCGATCTCGTACAAATTTACCTACTAAGTACCATCCATCTTTATCGTGCCTCTTCAGACGGCACGGCAAAATCACAAAGACAAAAAGTGGCTGACGTACATCTTTCTCTCTCTTTCCTTTCACGAACAATTAGCGTCGTCCCCCAAGTAGCCCTTTCCATCCTGCACGCACGGTCTCAAGGTTTACGCATCCCCATAATCTACAACACCTCCTCCTACGACTCTCTCGAGTCCTTAGCTTTGCTCGACGGACTGGTGGACATTTACCTGCCTGACTTCAAGGTCTGGGAACCGTCCACTTCCAAACGGCTGCTCAAAGCAGATGACTACGCCGCCACGGCGCGGGAGTCCATCAAAGCTATGTACGCGCAAGTGGGGGACCTGTGTTTTACTGGTGACGGTATTGCGAAGAGTGGGGTGCTGGTTAGACATCTGGTCATGCCTGGCCTCGAAGAGGAAGGGGCAAAGATTATGAGGTGGTTGGCTGAGGAGGTGAGTAGAGATGTGTTTGTGAATATCATGGAGCAGTATAGGCCGAGTGCGCATGTGGGGAAGGTTCAGACCCGAAGAAAGACACATGGAGGAGAGGAGGAAGCAGAAGGAGACAAGAAAGAAGAAAGACGGTATGCCGAGATCAATAGGGCTGTGAAGGGAGAGGAGGTGGAGAGTGTTCGGCAGGCGGCTGAGAGGGCTGGGTTATGGAGATTTTGTGATCCGCCTAGGCATGATGGGTTTAACATTTAGACCTGCGTCATATGTAAACTAGACTAGACTTACTAGATCTTCTTCTTGGTATTCTCCCTTTGAGGGTCATGGAAGGTTTAGTTTGCGCTTGTTATTCTCCGTTGTTTGCCTTCTAGAATTGTCTTAGTTGCACACGTGGATGTTGTTATCAACAACATTCTTCGGCTCTGAACTGGGCAGTTCCGAAGTCCGGACTTGAAGATCGCCTCTCCGGGACATTGAACTAGGGAATCAGGACCGAGCAAACATAAAGCCGCGACTCCTCAGGAGTCAAGCCTCACAGTGCCTCACTGGTCTGATTCTGCTTGATGGTCTTAGACGGGTGTTTGTCTGATAAGTCCCGAACCAAGGGACTCCAGTACGCAAGGCAATTGGCCTCTCGGATGTTTTGCCCGATTGGGGATCAGCCACCAGCGGTCTCATTCTTTGGACACGTCAAGCCACCGCACGAGGCATGAGTGTGTGTCTTCTTTGTTTCGAACTCTAATCTTGTTCCGAAAAGGGGGCTTGCTCCAGCTTATACCTAGCCGAGCGAGAGAGAAAAACACAGCCAAGGCCTACGCCACTCCCTCCTTCATCTTCTTTCAAGGGTAGTAGAACCACCAAGGGCCTGCCTGACCCCGCAAGCAAAAACGCCCCCCTTTTCAAGGGAGAACTAAGAAAACTAGGATGTCTGTGATGCGTTGAGTATTGTTCCAAGAACAACACCCAGGCCAGTCGCCTACCGTGATGGAGGGGCGGCTTTGTCAAGCAACCAGCGGGTCTGGAAGCCACGAGGTCGAAAAGCCGGGCTAGACCTTGGCGGCTTCCGGCCCCGAAGTGATGAGTGGGTGGGATGGCCATAATGAAATCATTATCGGAAAGATTCCAGTCGAAGACGAGGAGGAAAAGGTGAATGAGCGATGAGCGCCTATAGCAAGCCATGCGTTCTTGGCTTAGATATATGCCCACCTCAAGGAAGCCTGTCTCATGACCACCGAGGGGTATCTAGCTGGCTGTGAGGGCTTTGCGTTGCTGGAGTTGATATCCATAAACTTGGATCAACTCCTGGAACAAGTCGCACAAGATCTTCTCTCCCGTCACTCCCTCACTCCACCCGTCCCCCTTCTCCAAGTCTGTTGTCAGAGTCTCTGCCGGTCTTTCCTCCATAACCCCATTCCTTGTCACATATACAACATGTCGTCTTCAGTCAGCAGCAGCCATGGAGGGCAAGCTACCCTCATAGACGGAAGGCCACCAAGCCCAGCCATGTCGACGACCACCACTCTCTCACCACCCAGCCCAGTCATTGGAGGGGGAGGAGGAGGAAAACATGACCACCACCCAAGCATCATCTCACATGATGCAATGGCAGACGTCAAGTCCAAGATCGAGAAGCTCGCCAAAGAGCTTAAGCAGCAGCAGCAGCAGCAGCAGCAATGTCGTCAGCAGTCAAGCAACAACACTCGTCCAATTCTGCCCCATTTAAACACCGATAGCATCATCACCGCCACCACAGCCAAGAAAATAAACTTGACCAGACCTGTCCTATCCCCCTTCTCCCGAGCCAAAAGCCACCAGCTCCAGCAACACGGCCATCATCCATCCACTCCTGGCCCCGTCATCCCAGGCCTCGAACCCGCCTCCCGCTCTCTCTCCGATCTTCACAACGAGCGCTCCTACCTCTTACATAACTTGCAAACCCAAGGCGAGCGAGCCACGCGTTTGTATCAGCGGTATGCCCATCTCGAGGCTAAAAAGGAGGCTTTGGCCTCTACCTCCTCTCCCTCAGACGAAAACAACGCCACTGCTTCTTCAGTTGGCAGCAAAAAGAAAAAGATCAAAAAGGACCTCTCTCTCCTCCGCAGCCGGATCGCCGAGTCCACGCAGCAGGAACAGCTGATCATGTTAAGGCTGGGCGAGATCCATGTGGAGTTGGTGAATAGGGGAAGGTGGGTTATGACGCACCAGCAGCAGTATCAGCAGCAGCATCAGATGGTGTATTCGCCGATGTCCGCTGTGATGGAAGGTCAGCAGGGGTATTTCGGTCATCATCAGTGGCATCAGCAGCTGAACCATGGTGGTGGCGGAATCCCGGCCACACCATCCTCCGCCGACACCTATTCCGTCTCGCCTGTGGGAGGGGATGATTACCTTTACACCCCCTCGGTCTTGAGTCCGCTTTCTCCTTCCTTTGTGCCTGGTGGAAGTGTTAGTTTCTTTGAAGATATTTGGACCCGCCCATCCCAAAACTCACAAGATCACTTTACCTGTCCGGGAGAAACTCTGGCCCCTGTCCCAGGCCCCGAGCAAGAATATGAACACCATCACCCAACCGAGGGACAAGAAGAAGAAGAAGAAGAAGAAGAAGAAGAAGACGACCAAACACCCAAACCCAAAACTTCTTTCCAAGACCTCCCTCTAGACTCCCCAGAAGTCCCCCTCTCGGCAGTCACTCCCAAGTTCAGCACCACCACCAGCACCGTCAGTACCGTTAGCACACTGCCCTCCGAACACCTCGCCACCCCCATCACCCCTAGCAGAATCCCATGGGACGAATACCCGTCCGATTCCGAAGATGACGGGTCGTTTGAAAGTTTTGATGCGAGCAGTTTTACGCCTATTGGCGTGACGACTATTAATCCACTGACTTGTAACAATTCTTTGGTTAACGGCTCCGGCTCGGGCTCGGGTTCGGGGTCTGGTGTGATGATTTCTGAACTGGAGGAAAACCAAGACGAGGAACAAGAAAAAGAAGGTGAAGAAGAAGAAGAAGAAGAAGACGAAGAAGACGAGGGAAGTGACGAATCCGCTTCCGAACCAGGGGATTTGCTTTCTGAGCAACAAAGAAGGACTGCTTCGTTCTCACGGGGTGGTGATGGCTGGACTAAGGGTAACAACAACAACAATAACCACAGGAGGCTGAGTATGCCTAGCTTGAAGAACCTGTGGCCTGCCGCGCTTGCGGCTGTTGGTGTTCAAATGGGATTGGAGGAAGAGGAGGATGTGCCGGAGTTGAGGCTTGATACTGTTATCTAGGCTGTTCCTGGTTCTTTTTGGTTCTCGAGGTTCTCAAGTGGGCTCTTTCTTGCATTCCATGGTGGAAAGTTGGCGGCGGCGGAGTTTATGACACTGGCGAACATTTTGTTAGGATGTGAAAGAGGACAATTCAAGTTCCCTATGTAGGCGTTAACTGGGAAGGTCAAGGATATATGCTTGAGTGTTTTATCTTGGAACTTACTTACTGGTTGTATTGGGTATTGCGCCGAGGAGCTTTGAGATACAGTCAACATCTTCTGTCCGAACAAAAACATCAAAATAGCGGGAAACAGGGAACGAAACGAGCCGGAAGGGTGTTTATGATTAGGTATATTAGCTCTGTATAGTTGTGTAAGCTTGTAGACAAGTCCTTTTGCCACTTTGATATCGTATGGCCGTTTCTTGTCCGTCTTATCTGCCAATGTCGCTTTCCGCGTCCCTGATCCGTAAATATCCTGTATGATGTTGATGATGATGATGATCGTATATGCGCCGTACATCTTGCTTGCTTGCTGACTTCTCTGGAAAGCCAACCCCAGCCAGAATTGCCGTTCCGGTTTCCTTCATTTTCCTTCCTCAGATTTTATTCCCTATTCAAACATGCCGTTCGGTCCATCGTCGAACCCTAACTCCTGCGCAGATGGTTGTCTCCTGTGCGCAGCACGTCCACTGCTAGGCGGAGGCGGCAAGAAAGGCATTCCTAACCCGCTGCCACCTCCAGTCGACGATGGGGGAGGGGGGAGCGAAAAGGCCGACAAGGGCGGCTGTGAATCACTGTCCAAGTCGGTTGACAAGGGGCGATCGTGCCTCGCTCTCCTCCCGAACTTGGTCCCGCTCAAGTTCACCGTGATGGTTTCGCCCTCCTTCAAGCTATAATCCTTCTTCTCCTCGGCCTCCTGTTTCTTGCTTGACTTGATCAGGGGCGCCACGCCCTCGATCAGGCCCAGCGACTTTTGGGCCTCCTGCAGGGCCACGCCAAAGTCGAAAGACTCGCTGCGCTCCTCGAAGCCGACGCCGAGCATGGCCTTCTTGCCGGTGTTGGGATCCTGCACGCGCAGGGCAAAGAAGCGGCTGCTGTCGATGGTGGCCTCGACGACGGCCTGGGTGGTGTAGGGGGCGGCGGCGATCAGGTCGTTTGTGGCAGGGTCCTCGAGCACAATGTCCACCTTGACCGTGTCCTTCTCTCCAATCTGCTCGGGCGTCTGCGGCGGGATCGAGGTCTCGATGATGCGCACGCGGCCGGTGAAGATGTGCGCCTTGGGGTCGGCGGTCCAGTCGGCGGCCATGTGGCCCTTGGTCGAGCGCATAGGGGGGATCTGGTAGATGTGGACCGAGGAGGAGGTGATGTGGAGGATGCGCTGGATGGCATCGGCCGGGAGGGGGGCCTGCGTGGCCGGGTCTATGAGGGTCGTCATGATGTGTGTTGGTTGTATGGTGGTGGTGGTGGTCACGGTCGTAATGGTGTTTCTGTCCTTGTGATTTGCCTGCTACCTAGTACCTATGTCGGCATTAACTTATAGTCGACGCTCAACAGGAAGCCAAGGGGGGAAGAAGAAGAAGAAGAAACTGAAGCCAACATCGCCAACCAACGGGTCCATACACCTAGTTTCAAATGCCCGATGAAGAAAGAGACAATGACGGTAAAGGGTCCTCCGCTACTGTAGAACCCCTAAGTTAGCTTCACATTCCCCTTGCTGCCCCTGTTCCATGGAAGCGGACGGCGGGGCGGAAGCCACAAGTAACAGTGGTAGCAGATGCCAGGGGCAGCCTGGAGTAGAAAGGATCCACGCAGCCCCAGGGGGGACCCTCAGTGTTTCGACCCTGTAAAGAGCCCCCGAAAGGTCCGTGACGGACTGCGGCGGCGGTGACAAGCCGCAACATGGAAACTGCCTGGGCAGGGCAGCAACAACCCCGCTAGGCAAGTAGTACCAGCTGCCGATAGCGGGGCACACAGCATGACATCCATGAAATGGAAACAAAGAATGGCCGGAGAGCTTCGTTGACGTGCAGTACCTAGGTACGCATTGAGGGCGGTGAGTGGCGGCAAAATGCTTAAAGAGCCGCCCGCACTTGGGAATAATTTGGCATGAAAGGTTCAGTTACATGCATCTTGAGTCACACTTTTAGATCAGACGCACCCTTCTTCAGAAAACGCTGCATTCTATCGACTCTGCATACCACAAACCAGATCATTGTCGCAATAAACCTGTATGATTTGACAAAGCCAGAACCTGCCTGCCCGCTCCAAGTCTCCCAAAGTGACAAACACCCCGAACCCTCCCCACTTGGATCGACCGCAACAGTGCTTCCTCCCGGGAGGACTTGTATGTTTTGGCGAAAACCACTTCCCACCTTCACAATATCAACACACACACTTTGTCGTCTTCTCCAACAACCCCCATAAAAACATGGCCACCGACGACCTATCCAACAAGCCGCTCGCGGTACGGACGACATCGTCCACCTCCACCGATGGCGCCTCGTTCGAGTGAGTTTGCTTTGCGTAATTACCACACGCGTCATAACCAAACTGCGCATTGATTGCCTCTGACCAAGACAAACAAACAGCATCGTCAAAACCTACCGCGACCTCCTCACCTCCGACCCCGACATGACTATGCCCGTAGCAGCCATCGAATCGCTCATCGAGCTCTTGCGCGTCACCCCTTCCTCAACAGCCATGGAAACCGTCGAAGTCGTCAAGACCCAAAAGGCCCTCCTCCTCGACTCGGCCCCGAACCCTCTCCCTCTGCTAGCCGGCGCCGACCTCTTCGAGCAGTACCTTCTCCGGTCGCTTAGAGGGCAGACCGCCGAGTCCTTCGACGAGACGAAGCGCCACCTGCTCAACAACCGCCAGCTCTTTGCCGCCCGCGCCAAGGCCGCCCGCGACAACATTGCCGTCATCGGTTCCCGCTACGTGTCGCACCGCAAGATCGTCCTGGCCGCGGGCGGTTCGAGGGTGGTGACCAAGATCCTGGTGCACGCCGCCACGACCCGGACCAACACGCACTTCAAGGTCATTTACGTCATGGACGGCAGTCCGCACTGCGACGCCAGCGTCTCGGCCCTGCGCGACGCCGGCCTGGAGGTGGAGACCATCTCGACCTCCAAGGTGGCCTACGTCCTCAAGGACCAAAAGGACATCAACATCGTCCTCGTCGGCAGCGAGGTCGTCATGCAAAACGGCGGCATCATCTCGCGCATGGGCACTTCGCAGCTCGCCCTGCTCACGCGCTTCGCGGGCGGCTCGCAGAAGCGCTTCTTGGTTGCTGCGGAAAGTCACAAGATTGTGCGCAAGACGCCCCTCTGGCACCCACAGGTGTTAAGGGTCGGCGTCAAGCAGAAGGATATCAGCAAGTTTGACAACGTGGGCGTTGACCCTGTAGGCCAGGAGGCGAGGGATTGGGTGGCGGATCGCGATGAGGTGGATTATACCGATCCGGAGCTGATTGACGGCATTGTGACGGAGCAGGGAGTGAAGCAGCCGAGTCAGATTTGGGAGTTGGTGGATTATGAGAAGTGAGGGGGGTCTTGCTGCCCGGTACTGAAGGTGAAAGGCGCAGAAGCGTGGGTAACAAAAGGGCGGTTTTATGAATGGATGGATGGATGGATGGAACTGCTTGATCATTTTCAAGTTATTAGTGTGGTTACTGTGGTAAATATCTTTGCAGCATTATTAGGCGTTTTTAACGGGAAATGGGATAGGTACCTGATATCCTTTGGAGGTTGGTTGATGAAAGAGTCTCTTTTCTCACTTGCTTGGCTAAGACGGGGATGACTGATCGAGTGGAGTGACATGTGAAACCACTTCATTCAGATATATGTAGTTGACAGAATTTCATAACCAAGAAAAAGATACCCATCTGAGTACTAACCAAGACTGCGCTACTCACGTCGTCTTCTGTTTCCAGCCAGCCATTGTCCACCACCCATTACACATACAAACTCAACGACTCACAAATCTCTAACAACTCTCGCCCCCACCCAAGCATATGGATAATTCCTCTGGTACCAATTCACAAAACTCTTCCTCCCCGCAATCCTCGGATGCGTAGCCCAGCTCCCTCCCAGCACAATGTTGTGCTTCTCATCGAAAAAATCCGCCGTATAGCCGGGGTACAGCTCCATCGGCTTGAACCCCTCCCACTTGCGGAGGACCGATGAAGTCCATTCCCACACACCGCCGAGCTCGCCTTGCCCGAGAAGGGTGTTGCCTTTGGAGGTGACGGGCATAGGGTGCCAGTTGTGAAAACCGACGTTGGCACCGTCTAGGTCAGAGAAGAGGTCTTCGGTGGTGATGAGAGTGGTGTTGTTGCCGGAGGGGGAGGAAGACTCGGAGGGGGTCTCGGAAGAGGGAGAGGACGGGGGAGTGATTTCCACGCCGTTGTTGGTTAGGTGGCTGTTTATCAAGGGGGAAGATATTGTTAGTGCGGGCTGGACACGGGAGAGTAAGTCGGAAAGGGACATACGCATTAACAGCCGGAACCGTCCTTCCCAATTGTCTCTCAGCTTCCTTCTTCTTCCTAAGAGCATCGGCGTAAGCGTAAATGCTCCGGGTCTCTTCGAAAGTGGGGATACGGCCGCCCATGTAAGCTGCACAACCGGCAAGTTCGTCGTAAGAGGCAAACACGGGCCAGTCGAGAGCGTGCTTGAGAGGCACGAGACCGTAGACTGTGCGGACTGCTGTCCTCTCGAGAAAAGATAAAGGGAGCTGCTGCTTGGAGGTTCTGTTGCTGTGGTGACCGCTCACGCTGTTTGTTGTTCCATTGGCAATCTTCTCGTTGTCCAGGCGGGCCCAAGAAGCAGGGAGCTTGTCGATGTTCTTTTCAAGCAGATATTGTGCGTACTGGTTGCTGTTAGTATCGTGCAATAGTAGTTGCTAGGCAAACGTACCTCTTCGTTGGTGATCGGCCTTCCTTGAGCCTGAAAGGCGGCAACTTGAACGCGCCTTACAGGCTTCTCGTTGTCCCTATTTGCAAGTTAATCCACCATTGCTTTGACGGAAAAGGGTTCACTTACCAGCCATAATGCTTGTTAATATCAGTTCCATCCTCAGGATCATCCAAACCGATGGTGATCTCCTGTGCCGGAATCTTAAACCACTGATTGGGAACCCTCCCGGACTCCGCCTTCTTAGCGATCTTCTCAAAGTCGGGCCGTGGAATATGGGTTGGGGGCAGCGTCTTGTCGCTCTGTAGCATCATGTACAACAGCGTCTCGATATGCATGAGCTCGTGCTCAAACCCAACCCAAATGGCCCGACCTACATTCCGCGGGATATTCGCGATGCCGTGCGCATAGAGGCCGCGTAACCGGGACCGCACCGTCTCCTGATAGGTCAGGATTTCTTCCACCGGCGGCCATTCGTCAGGAATCTCCGAGTGCGCATGACACAGCTCCGGGTTGTCGACATCAGGATCAATGCCTCGCTCGAAGATTTTGCCAAAGTGAGCGGGCTCTGACGGAGCCTGCTTGGTGGTCTTTGTGAGCTGGATGTCGAGGAAGGTCGGGATGTGACCGAGGTAAAAGATGCAGGCGTTTCGGAGCTTGATGGGCTTCTCCAGAAGCTCTTCCTGGGGAAGCATCTGACGTGTGACGACATCCCATGTCGCCCAAAGGGCCTCCCAGTCGTCCAGAGCTGGGAGTGCGCTGCGAGCGTACACCGAAGGGATGAGACTGAAAGACATCCTTGACTTGGCAAGCAGATGGAGTCCTGCAGTACGACGGAGGGATGTCAGCATGTATCGATGGTTTTGATGGCGCAAATATTCGAGCCTCCCCAGCCCGTGCGCGCTACCCGAACACTGTAGCCCAACACCAGCCTACATATCGGTAAACCTGTGCCAGTGTAGGAGTTGTGCCCATCAGGAGACACCGCAACATCCTATCATCATACGACTGGTCCGTAGGGTGTGGGGGAGGTGTGGTAACACCAGCCGGACGGCTCAAACGGGTAGTCTCAGAAAGAGCTGGAAACCTCAAGCAAGGAAAAGTTGTGAAAGCAACTTACCATATTCGTTGCCGTACGTCCATTCCGAGACTTGTTCCAATCCCGCCGTGCTCCAGAGCCTCTCTGACTCCTCTTTCGAGTACTTTAGGCTCTGTTCGATCTGGATCCTGTCGTGTGACCTAATCAACTCCCCCATAACCATGGTGTCGCGAGTGGGGGCGTAAAAGGCCTGGTGTCTGCCGCCCTCTTCGTCATACACATATTCGCCAATGACTCTCCAATCGCCCTCGATGAACGCCGTTTCTCCGAGAATTTCATTGGCGTTTCGAAGACCATTCAAGATGAACCTGGAATCGTCAGTGTTAGTAATGGGCTGGAAAGCGGGAGCCGCCATGAGCGACAGAAAAAGGGGTATGACATACTCGTGAGTAATACCAACCTTGTCTGTTTGGTTATTGTCAGCTTGAAGGTGGTCTTATACCATGTCACATGAGTAAGCACAAACCGTTGTAAGCGTGGCTAGTATATGGTTAGCAATGTTTTTGATGACGTCCCAAGGTGTTTGTCGAATACGTACTATACCCTCGCGGGGTCATTGCAAGCGTCAACTCCAATGAGCATCTTGTCATTGGGTCCAAGGACGTCCGTAAAGCCCTTGAGAAAGATCGCGGCGTCACTGCGGTTGAAGTTGCCTAGAGACAAGATTATGTCAGGATTTTCTTTGACCATTTCAATACGTATTCAAGCTTACCAATGCTTGACCCGAGGTGCAAGATGCATTTCTGTTTATTGATGTTCTCTGGGGCCTTGAGCCAGTCACGTCCATCGTCATATGTGCCCAGAAGACCGTGGCACTTGACGTGCTTGTAGGATGGTACCTGAGCGAGAGTGCGCTCCAGCTCCTCCCGAGACAGGTCAAGGGCATAATAGTCAATTGCCTTGCCGGCGTTGTCTAGGGCTTCCAATAGAAGGTTTACTTTGCGCAGATTTCTGGGGATCTGGTTAGCTCTTCGGAACCCAGGACCCCATTGTCGAATTGTCAGATGTTTACCCGCTTCCGAGCTCAATGATCATGGCACCCGACGGGATGAAGCTAGCCATTTCGGTCGCATGTTTGGTGAGGATTTTGATCTCGTCATTGGTAAGATAGTACTCTTCAAGATATGTGATCTGATATGTGTCAGTATAGAACCAGCATGTCAGTCCCACAACTTGGATGAACTTACGCGCTCGAACAGCTGCAAGCCTCTCTCGTTGTAGAGAAGCAAGGTGGGTAGCTGTCTAGGGCCATCTTTAGGTCGGAACATGGAGGTTATCTCGGTCTTGAGGTTGATCTCTACAGCAACGCGGCGGATGTCGATGATATCGGCGTTTGATGTCTGCTGCTGAAGCTTGGATAGCACATGTTGTCCAGTTGCTTTGAGCTGTCCGAGGGCACTGCTTGGGGTCATGGATTCGGCACTCGGCATGTTGAATTGTTTATCACCGATGCAAGCTTGGGGGTTGAAAATGGGACAAGAAGTTATTTTGCAGGATGAAGAGTTGTTGAGGAAAGGGTGACAATGAGAGAAGTATGTAGTCGAGGTCAGAGAGGAGCTATGTCTAGCTAAGTGGAGGTAGAACAAAGGGAGCTACAGGCTAAACCAATATAGTGAATAGCTTTGAGTTCAGGAACAAGAGGGAAAGATGCGAGGTCAGAGCACCCAGTTCCCGGCACGCAAATATAAATAAATATATTTCCTAGCCTTACTCAGCCTGGCAGTTGGATGTGATGGAGCCATGTGGACGTATGTGGGCATGCATAAGCACAGCAATGGACTCCAAGCCAGCTACCTCTTTCGTCCACTGTCATGTTGATGGAGTCTGGGTTCCGTGGGAGGAAGTGGACTCATGACCCAGCTTGGAGACAGCAGACAAGCGAGAAATGACTGGGGATCCAGGATCAGGGAACATAGAATGCCAACACGACGGAGGCTGCCGGCCCATTACATGTCCAACTGTGTAATAAGAAGAGAAGAGAAGGCAAGGAGGAAGAGGATTGGACGTCGAGGTGATCCGGTTACATAACCCCCTGTGCCCCTACACTCGTAGAGCCCCAAAGCCAAGGAAAGGAAGATCTAACTAGGACGTTAAACATGGTCGAATTGATTGGACGTGATCAGTCCGGGGTACAGCATGCTCCCGTCAGGAACACTTCCTGTGGCTTCCAAGTTGTTACATGGCGCCGCCGTGCTTTGACTATGCAGACGGATGTGGCGATGATGATGATGATGGTGATGATGATGCTGAAGTTTGAATAAGGTCGGACTGGAGATTGGAAGAATCAGGCCTGGATAAAGGACGATGTGCCTGAGTGAAACGAAAAACCGCCCATTCTGTGGAATAGGTGTTTCTGCACTTTGAAGGGAGCCGAAAGACAGGAGTCAATGGAAAGGTCAGAGAGCAGTGTCCAACATGTTTCTGTGCTGTCAGACAACGCCAGAGGTTCGGGGTTCTGGCAACCGAGGTATCTGGACAAATGGCGGGGGTTTTGGAGAGGCAACAGGACCAAAAGGGAAGGAAGACAAAAGCAGTGAGACCTTTCGAAATTGTTTTGTCATGACCCTCGCTAGGTTCTCATGCGTGGGCGCACGTTGTTGGAGGAGAGCATGGAGATGGCAAAGAGTGGGAGTCGATGACAGTTTGCCGTTGGCTGATGCAAGGAACAAATCACCTGGCACGAGGCGCCCAAAGGGATTCCTGGCAGACAGCAAAGGGGCGGGTCCCACGCCCTAGGATAGGTTGCCCACCGATGGGAGGCACTAACCAGCAAGGTGTTGGCGTCCCTTTGCGTGCGTGGCTGCGTGTTGGTTAGTAACAATGATGCCTCAACTCTTCTGGGCAACCTTCTCTCCACGATCAAAGAAGTAAGTACAGCTTGAATAATATTCGTGGAATTGCTGGTGCCCGCTTATAGTGTTGAGGAGGTGATTCCCGAAGATACTCATAAGAAGAAGGGACATTGTATGAAAACGAAGCATGGGATCTCCGATCACGGCAATTAATGCCACCCATCGTATGTAGTGTGGAACGAATCCGTGGAAATATAACTCATCCACTGGGTACATGGAAGGCCACCGGAATCGACAGGAGAAAGAGAAGAAAATGTTGATCATGTCCGGGAACGAAGGATCCCCAATTGAAGTCTCAGCTACCCCTCATAAGTTAGAGGTAGCTCCGTCACCGAATCCACCCGCCGTAGCTTCCGTTCTTAGCTGCTGGAGCCCTATGACATAAACGAGCGAAACAAGAAGTTCACTTCGACAAGGTACCTATCGATGAGATAAGAAACGAGACATTCCCTTCCATTGTGTGACCATCAATATCGCAACTCTCCAAAAACCAAACGCTTTGCAACTTTCTCACGTTCAACTTGACAGATCTCTTCGGACAAAAACATTATGAGATGATCTTGAAGCCAGCAGAGCCGCCGCAGCCTCCAACCTTGTGTTACACAAACTTCCGTCAGTTGTCCGACTCGGGTGGAGATCGACGTCATCGTTTCACGGCTGCGTCTGGCATACGCATAAATGGGTCTCTCAAACTTCCATTCAACCAGCAACCTTCTTCCGGCTCTGGTTCCTGACCGAGAGAACAACACGGGTAGCATCCGGCCAAGCCGCGCTAGTCGCCTCAGTCGAATCTAGCGATCCAAGATGCCATCAAGCTGCCATCGACGACAAAGGCATAACTTTTCGGACTTGGCTGTCCTTCTCTTTCTTCGAGTTACCCTACCTAGTCTTGCGCGCGATTCAGGCGGGTGACAGGAAGGACCCCCACGGCAAGATACAATACCGGCCTCAAGTGCTGCAATTACTTTGGGAATAGGCAGGCTGCAGACCTTGTCAAGACGTTCACAGGTGGGATCATGTCCACAGTCCCTTCGGTCCTCCATCTCCCCATATTGCGGGGAAGCCTGTCATCATTCATGCGAATCATCCACGATGTTCCGGGGAAAAGTTTTGTCTGGTATTGACAGAGGTCGCTGACCGCCAGCCATCACAGCTTCTGGCCGACACCATTCAAAATGCAAAACATCCTACAACACCCGACCTGCCGTCTCAACCCCTGAATGGAAAGCACCTGACGAGCCTAGTTTTCCTTCTTCTGTGCTGGCCATGTTGACCTGTTGTTTCGAACATCTTTGGGGATCAGCTGATCATGGGTTTTCAGAAACGCATTGGTACTGACATTTTGCACCTTCAAAAGCCACTCGCAATAGGGAATGCTACGATAATGAGACCGACGCCAGTGAAGCAAGCCGGCTCCGTCACTTTCCATGTGGACCCCAAACATCAGTCCTCCACTCAAAGATCTCGATATTTCCAATTTGAGCTCAGTCGGCAGATCGAGCAGGCCGGAAACACGATTCCGGGGGTAACTGCCCCACGCCATAGTCGTTGGTGGAGCCTCTGATGGGTCCACAGTCCGTGTTCCGGCCCCGAGAACGGATCCACCTTTCTCCGCCTTGACGGGCGCTAAAACCCCGACCTTTGCTCTCGGCGTGGGGGCCAATGCGGAGGGTTCTCCTCGTGAGATCTTCCTCTCCGTCATCACCAACCCACGTTGACAAAACAGCTTCATGGCACTGACCACCTGATCCGGACAAAAACACGACCGTAGTCTAGATCTCCAAAGGCAGTGTTCAAGTTGCGTGAATGGCCTCATAGTCTCTGGTACTCTGACACGGCCGTTCTATTTCCCACCGGTCAACAATCCAAGGACCCATCCATCCATTCATCCATCCATTGATACCAAACCCTTTAGAAAAAATAACACGGATCGAACGCAACGTTGACCAATGAGGGCTCATTATGTAATACGCCTATCGCAGCAAACCACGATAACAAATCGGGCAACAGATGATTCAGACTGTCAGCCGGCCCCCTCATTCTGCGGGGCTGAGTTATCCGTAATCTCTTTTCATTTTGGAATCACCTGACAGCGTGTGAATATGCGCGTTCGTGATGCGGGGAGTTTGGATCGTATGTGTGAGAACCGCGTCTCGCGTTCTGTCAATAGCGTGGCTCATCTACTGCCTGTCCTAACCCTGCACGCCTTTCGAGATACACGGTGCATGAACTCCACGAGACATCTAAAGTATTACGGGAGTTACACAAACACCAAGCCTCTTCCTCCGTCCAAACGCCTTGAAATGTGTGTGATGAATGTTACCTCAATCGGGGGTGCGGCATGATGACAATAATAAGTAAGACGGGAAAGCGGGGTTAGTTGTGGTAAACGAAGCTGACATTCATCTGCAAGCGGGCAGGCCGTCGGCTGACGCTGCTGCCTAGAATAGGTGGTGCCTGCCCTTAGCTCTTGGTGTTTTAAATTTGAGGTTCCTTTGCTATCGTAGGGTAGATGCCCGACGGTAAAGCTTTGGGGAATATTAATCAAGGCAGTTGCGCCTGTTCTTTTGAAATGTAGAGGTGAAGAGAAAGCGAGTTAGTATTGAACTTGATTCCCAAACTTTCCATCCTCTGCAGTCTTGCTTGAAACCCCCTTTCTCTCCCCTCCATCACCAACTTCAATATCAATCAATCAATTACAAACCCAGCCCACCATCATGTCCTCCTCCCAGGAAAAACCCCTCAAATCCTACCGTGGCAACTGCCACTGCGGCGCCTTCATCTTTACCCTCCTCGTTCCGGAAATCACCACTGTTATGTACTGCAACTGCTCCAACTGCCGCAAAAAGGGCTACCTCTGGTTGATTCCCGACACGACCAAAGGCCACAAGTTTGAAGTGGTCAAGGACGAGGGAAAACTGACCGAATATGTGGCGGGCCCGAAGGGAACGAAGTACAAGTTCTGTAAGGTGTGCGGGACGGGAGTTTGTGCTATCTATAAGAAGGAGCAGGAGGAGTCTGGGAAGGAAGGGCAGGGGGTATTGGTGAATGTGAGGGCGCTGCAGGAGTTGAAGATCTGGGATTTGGAGGTTAAGGAGTGAGTTTGAAGACCTTACTTACCCTCTGACAAGACTGGATTGGAGGGACTGTTGACTGACATGATGCATCGATCCGCGGCAGATTCGACGGCAAAAGCATCCCGCCCCCATACCAACCCGCCCCCTTTGACGGTCCCGAACCCACGGCCCAAGTCGAAAACGGCGTCGTCTACCATGGCTCTTGCCATTGCGGCGCCGTGAAAGTGGCCGTCAAGACTAAAGGGCCGCTGGACAAGACGTACAAGGAGAGGGTTATTGACTGCAATTGTAGTGTTTGCCAGCGGGTACGTTTTCTCAAACCCGTTTCTTCACCTTTCTCCTTTTCTCTCCTTTTTCTTCTCTCCCTCTCCCTCTCTTTCTTTTCTCTTCCCACCCACTGACCCGTTCTTCCCACATCCATATCTCACCACGCTAACTCATTACCAAACAGGGCGGCTACATCTGGATCTACCCCTCCTCCTCCCAGCAACTCTCCTTCACTCCGCAATCCCGGGCGAACCTAACCTCGTACGCCTGCATCTCCAAGCTTATGTGCAAGACCTTTTGCAAGACGTGCGGCGTGCACCTAACCAACGAGTTTAACTCGGCCGCGACCGAGGAAGAGATCGGGGCCGCCATGAAAGGAGAGAATGGGGACATTGTGATGAGTTGGATCAAGAGTGTTTTTCCGATTAATATCAGGTGCTTGGACCGGTGCCCTGGGGATGATAATTGGGAATTTGATAAGTGTGTGAGGGAGTTGAAGGTGGAGAAGGGAGATGGATGGGGGAAGATTCAGCCGGGGTATGTGAATCCGTAAAAGGTTATGGATGTTCTCATGGTAGACTGTATGTTTCGTAGATGACGATTAACTCTTCATGAGGATCTACTGAGACCTTTGACTTTGGGTGTCGAGTTTGGAGCGGAAACTCTGAACCCTTGAATAGGTAGGCCAGAAGGAGGAAGATTATGCTGAAAAGAAACATGCGAACAACTTCTTGCTACACTCCTCCGAAACCAAACAACGTACCTGCCAAAAGACAAGTAGTAAAAACGGACTGGATCATGACAACCCAGCAAGCTGAACAATCTTGGACGTCACCACCAACTTTGTCGAGATTTATGACAGATTGCCTAGATATTTCGTTCCTGAAAAGGGGGTAATCTGTCAAAGTGAAAGATAGGTAGCTGGAGGCAATTGCAACTGTATTCGGTTTACTAGTGGTTAGTTGCGTAGGTTGGCAGTTACTTTCACTTTTAGGGGAGCGCCTGGATAATTCCATTAGGGAAGAAGCCAAATAAAGACAGACTACCTACCCTGACTATAGATCGGACACAAGAAGGATGGGAGGAATATGACAATAGGAATATGAGAGGGTTGTCATCTTCAGGCACCTATCCTATGGTAAACCCACACTTCCAAAATCTGATTTTTCACCTAGAAACGACGGGATCAAGCTGAAAACAGGAGATGTAGGTATTACCCATGTCAAATAAGCTTATCTAGCGAGTCATCACACCCGGTGCTGACCGCCAGCTTTTGATTTACATCGAATCGAATCGATGCCTTTGAGGCTTCCGGCGGTTGTTAACCGTGCTTGCCGCCCGTGTAACTGAACAGAATGCTGTGATCAACGGCCAAACTAGAAAAAAAAAAAAAAAAAAAAAAAAAAAAAAAAAAAAAAAAAAAAAAAAACCCCTTTAGGTCAGCCAGACCCGACAATGAGGTTTGATAAACCTCAGAATCCCTAGACTCCATGCCTGCCATGCCACCATGCCAAAATACTATACATGAACTGAGAAAAACATAAAAAATGTTCTGTACGGACCAGACCGGACCCAAAGATGTAGCGGTCGTATGTCCTGTGCTGTAGTCTTGTATATGTGGGAGTCCAGTCCCAGTCCCAGTGCCAGTTTCCGAAGTCCCAAACCAAACGCCGTTACAGATTGTGAAAGCTCATCAATCCCGACCCAAGAAGTGTTGAAGAAAAAAAAAAAAAAAAAAAAAAAAAAAAAAAAAAAAAAAAACGAAACTTGTCGCCGTCATGCGCACGCTCGCCCGTCCGCTCGCTCGCTCATCGTAATAATCAAATCATTAACCACCATCAAATCCAAACCCATTATCCTCCTATTCCTCCAAGGTGCATCCAGCCTTAGTTCCCATCACTCCCCACAACAAAATCATCCCCCTTCCTCTCCCTCTCCCTCAACCCCCTTCTTCCTCTTCTTACTCGGCCTCCGCTCACTCTTCGTACTACCACTCCTACTATTCCATCCCCCTTCTCCTTCAACCCAATGTCCCTTCTCAATCATATGCTGCCGCAAATTATCCGGGCGGTTCTTATACTTACTCTTGCAACCGGGAAACTTGCAGGGGTAGATCTTGTCCGGCTGGTCGCTGTGCTTGACCTTCATGTGCTTGGCCATGCTGCCTTTGAACCAGCGGGGGTTGCCGTCGGGACGGTAGTCGCAGAGGTGGCATTGGGGTGGGTGTTGGGGGTCAGAGTCGGGCTTTTGGGTTTGATCAGTAGTGCTGGCTGGGGCTTGGTCTTCGGAAGGTATTTCCCCAAGGTGAGAAGCTTGTTTTTGCTGCTGCTGTTGTTGTTGTTGGCGGTGTTGCTGTGGTTGTTGTAATTGTTGTGGTTGTTGCGGTCCGAAAGTAGCTGTGGAACTGGCGACGTGGAAGCTATGTAGAGCTTCGGGAGGAGTAAGTGTCATTGTTGGTACGGAGAATTTGCGGTGTGCTTCCGTTGAGACCTTGCCGATATCCGTGTGGTCCTTTAGGAAACGGGCTAGCTCGTCTTGGTGTCCTTCGGTGGTGGTAACTGTGGAATGATTTTGAGGAATATCGAACCCCGATATCACGGATTCGATGACTGATATACCGAGTTGGTGGTATACAGCACGATCGTCGACGCTTCCAAAATACTTGAGGTAGACCTCGTCGCACAGTTCCCAGACTTTAGGGACGTAATCACTGTAATAGCGACTCGCGGGCATGGACTCCTGATGCCTTCATTAGCATGACTTGTTGTCGTGACTGATAAGAAATCATTAGGGGAACACTTACCTTTCCAGCATGAAGAACTTCGATCTCAAGTCGTCTACCAGAGAAGATGACCCCGTTGTTGACCTTGTTGCAGATTTCAGAAAGCTTTCCTTTGAGTAGTTGCAAATCCTCGTTGTATTTGACCAGTTCACATAGCATCTTCGTGACATCCGATGTGAATCCGTGGTTTCTGGAAAACATAAGGACTTCTTGGTGCTTCCTATGGAGTTCCGAGTTATTGATATCGAGTGAGTGCGATGGTTGGCCGAAGACAATGCAGCTTTCGAGTTCTGTAACAATCTGTTGTTAGTTTCTGATTATTGGTACAATAAACATCATCACTTACCATCCAAAAACCGGCATCCTGCAACCAGGAGGGTGTCAGAATGGGTGCTACTTATATCTATGCGAGCAGTGGGAGCTTTGCCTTTCAGACTAGATGATCTGCTCAAAGGCACAACAGAGGACTTTGCACGAAAGTTACCGAGATCCCCAGGCGTGATACCCGATGGTTCCAGAATGTGATAAACCAATTGGCGGTACACGGTCCCTTCTTCTTCTTGAAGTAGATTCTCGTAGGCCAGAGACTGGAAGAACAATCCCTTCGCGTCATGTTCCATGTGTTCCTGCCGAGTGACAAAGTTGAAAGCATATATGACGTGTATTAAACACAGAAAATCCATTGATGACGAAGGCTGCTCCCCTTGAAGCATTTGCTGGAGTGTTTGTAAACCTGTAAGCGCAATCTCTTTACATGGCATTGTTCGGAGTTTGTTGGCCAAGTGGTTATCCGGAATATCTTGGATTGCTTGTCTTGACGCAGATAAATGTTCCTGGATAAGATCCCAGGCTGATATTATCATCGTCTCGACCTCGGGGTTGCAGATGTTATCATTGTGAACTTCCATTTGCTCAGGCTCGACTATGTCCATAGGGTCATCTGCTGTCAGGTCAAGCTGAGCTGGATATGTCGAGTCTGCCGATGGCATCTCCAGGGGAAAAAGGAGATTATCCGGCATTGGCGGAACATGAATTTCTGCCGGGAGTTCAGCTGGTCCATCAAGGATGTTGGGGAACGGCGCATTGTAAAATGTTTCAACAGCCTCGTTAAACTCCTCGGTCATCTTGGTATGGTTGACTGACCAAGCCACGTCAGAGCTTAGTCCTTCGCTGTAATCCGTTACCGGGGACACCAGCGTCGAACTCATGGTGGTAAAAATGGTATCCGCACTTGCATTGGACCTGACGGATGACTGAGGAGATAGACCGTGCCTGCGAGAAGGGACTACGGCAGGCCTGGAATTGTGCCGCTGTGGGAGACGGCGTCCCGCTAGACCCTGAGTGTTGACTTGAAGGCTCGGCCTACTCTGACTGCTGCGCCCTGAGGCATCGTCCGGTAAGGTACAGGGGAATGGTGATGCTGAGTGGGAAGCCCCTGAGCCTTCCCAGTTCATCCCCATGAAACTTTGATAAGATGAGAGAAGCGGATGGGAGGGTTCGGTACATTCGAGCTCGGAAATCCCCTCGGACGTCTCAGGTATCCCGGGCAAGGTCTGGGACGAGATGAGCACCATGGATGGAGCGGGTACCATAAGTGCCTGCGGGTCGACACCGGCTTCCAGTCCTGTCTCGGGATTGTTATGGATGGTGGCCACCTCCACTGAGTCGATTTCATATCTCATCACCGATTCCAGTTCGGTAGGTTGAGTTTGCATCATGATCGGCTGATCAACCGAGGCAGCGCTCAGGAATTCGTAAGGCGGCGGCGCACTGGAGTCATGGTCAACATCGAATCCGGAATCCTGACTCCGCTTGGATTTGTGACCTAATCCGTGGAAGAACTTCTTGGCCATGAACAACATTTTCCTCCTCTTAGATGGATGGCTGAGACATCGCTTGCACTTGACGTCGTCAAAGCGCTCGACCCGGCTATGCTGAGGACACCAGTACTCTCCGGTCGAAAGAAACCTGCAGTTGACCAGGTGCTTTAGCATTGACTCGTGGTCGCTCAGCAGTAGCTGGCACTTGTGGAGTGGACATTTCGAACGTTCTTCGTCTTTTAGAGTTGGACATAGGTTGCGGTTTACTGCAGCCCATATGATAAATCTGGCCTGGGCACAGTCCTGGCGGAGAGTTTCTTGGGTCCTGTAATGCACACTTAGCCTCAGACTTACCCGAGAATATAATATGGCGGGGCCAAGAGAGAAGAAAACATACACACACGACAGTTCCTCACGATGCTGCTGATACGTGTGTTGATACTCGGGTTGCTGTGGCTGTGGTTGTGGTTGTTGTTGTTGTTGTTGTTGTTGTTGTTGTGGAGGTACCAGGCTCGGGTCCAAAATGGGATGAAAGGGAGAAGCATGGACCCCATAGGGCTGATATAAGCTTTGTGAATCCCCACCGATCTGATGTTGGCTTGGATGATATGACGATAGCGTTCTTGTTGTAGACGACGTGTATCCAGTGATGAAGGAGGTCAAGGAGAAGGAGTCGTCATCAAGAAGAGACGGCGCCTGCTTCTTAGCGTCCATCTTCCCAGGTGCGTGTACGGATGTCTTGCAGGACAAAGGTAGGTAGGTAGGTAGGCAAGTAAAGTAGGTACAACAGCAGCAACGAGGATCCCTGATGGCGGTGCCAGGAACGATACTCTGTAGCAAAGTGAAAGAACAGACGACACAGGCACGGTCATCTGAGAAATCATTCGCCACACATTGTTTGTTTTAATGCAGACTGGATCGCGAGCAGGGGCATTGGCCAGAGGAAGTGAGATTGTGAAAGAAGAGCCGGATCAACGGGATTACGCGATGGCGCGCGGGTCGTGGTTGAGGTCCTAGAAAACTAGAGCTTCGGTATTCACGGCCTGTGGCGGACAGGGTAAGCAAGTGAGAGCCTAGCTAATGGAAAGCCAGCTCAGCAAAGTGAGGTTGTCGGCCAGTGGTACGCCATTCTTCTTAGGACTTTGCGGTTGGCGAGCCGGGGTCACTCGTAGGACTTGGGGAGTTGAGTTGCTCTGGACTCTCTGCTGGGGCTGGACCGTCTGTAAGAGCAACTCTGACTGGCTCAACTGGTCACTAGCCACACATTTTGGTCGGCCTGGTCACCTTGAATCTGTCCCTGGCTGCAGATTGAGGGCGGTGACAGGCCCAGCCCAGCAGAAGGAGACGGCGGATTGGCTGCCTCTTTGAAGATGTTGTCTTGGTTCAGTTGTGATGGGAGGATGGATGTTCAACTGGCATGGCTTGGCCGGCACTTGAGTGCAGATGGCATCATGATCATTGACAGGCACCACAGCTGACAAGACTGTTGCAAGTGATCTTGGCAGGCACGCACTCACTGTTCGTAACGTGGGACAATGCCATGGTCCCTTCTGTCCCTCGTGGGTAAGGCCAGTTGCCATTCCCTATTTTCGCTCTCGCAGTCTCAGTTTAGTCGAAATCGGCGTCAAGGCACAGTTGGATGGACAAAAGTCCTTTGAAAATGCGTGCGTAGGTAGGAACGCGTGATCATGCAGGGTGATCTGCCTTGTTAACTCGTTGCCTGCCGGAAAACAAAGTAAGGCTGTTTGCAAGGCAGCATCGGCCCTTCATCTTGTCGAGACCCTTTTGGTCCATGTTCAGCTGGGATTGATATGAAGTCCTGTCGTACAAGAACTGCGCTGAGCGCTGATAGGCATATCATCACCACTTTCGTGCCGTGCCCAAGTCCTGCATCCCGGAATTTGCTGACGATAAAGACGCGATAAGGAACATGGATTTCATGCGTGCCGGCAGTTAATGATTGATGATAAAGGCGATTGATTATTGGGTGCTCGGCCTTTCCGCGAGTTGGTAACGAAGTGAAATTGGCGTCATGGTGAAAACTACGGGTGTCGCGCGAGTTCCCTTCCACGAGACGACGGGAGAGAGCGGGTCACTTGCCCCACAGGGACAGACCTAGGTCCCGGGCCAGGCGGGGCAGTCACGGCGCCGGCCGAGCATCCACAGCCCCTTGACTCCACATTTTGGCGTGGAGACCGGGCCGGACCCGACAAGAATCAACTTGTTGTACCGTCACCTCGACTTTCCCCGCCCCCCTTATCATTTCATCGAGCATCGGCAGTATGATACCTCATGGTCTACGTACTTGATACAGCATTCTGATTATTTTTTTCTTCCGTGGTCGATGAAGGTGATACTGCAGCAAGACACACCTCTTTGACAACCTTTCTTATCTTCTTGAATTCCCCGCGGACGGAACTGCCGACGGCGAGGGACGAGAGCGGCGGCTTCACTCACCAGGACGAGCAGGTCAATATCGACAAAGACCATCCCTCATACCGGAAGTATACTCTTTACATATCGTACGCACTCGTATGAGCAAGTTTCGATATACAACCTTGCGATGAATCCAAAACAAAGCTGACGCTGACGCCGGGGTTACTCCATCCTTGCGAGATGTTTTACATGAGGCAAGCGATGCACGCTGTGTTTGAGATTGGGTGCACCAGAGGGACAGGCCGTGACAGGGGAGCCGTCTGCCTTGATAGTGGGGTTCAACAGCCCGGTGAGGGGTTGATGTTATGGTTGGAGGGACACTTGCCTGCAGCCGCTAACATTGCCAAAATCAACGACAGGACGGTCTCAGATACCTCGATGATACCTTGAGATCGCAGAGAATGCAACCCACCAACATCGCTCAAACTTGCTCAATGCTGTGTCCCAAAGTGTCGACATCATCCCTATCGATACTACCAGCAGATATTCCTTTGGGATCCGAATTCTCGGAACACAGGATATGGCGGCTACCTCAAGCCACACACACCTCACCCACGCCATGGTTCTACGCTATCAGCAAACCCCCCAACACGGGCTGTATCGCTATCACGATCACGGGCACCCAACACCCAACACCCGAACAACCCCTCTTTCGCAAAAATCCCTAGTGACAGAAACTACTATCTTCAGCACATTTACATGACAACTTATTCTACAGCCAGCTTTGGCAATTCCTCTGGACCCCTCCGCTTCACTCTGCAATGAACTAACTGATCGAGCGTCGTCATCCTGATCGTCTGTCCATGTCCCGATGTGCCGTTCATCATGATCTGCTCCCTTTTCCCTCGGGTTTCGAAACAGACTCTCAGACCACTGAGAGCAGCCAACGAGACGAGCAACAAAAGGCGAAACATGCTACCATAGCATCAGCCAAACCTCGCTGCCCATCCATACCAGTCCAAGTTTGGAACTGTCACACTGGACCCCCCACATTGTCTCACACCAACCAGTTCTAAGTTTCTCACTCGGCTTCGTTTATTCGATTTTGCCGCCAGTTCGGCAAACTTGACGGCACACGACCCAGACATTTTGAGCATGCGCTTGGCAGACTGACTGACTTGCAGGAGAGACGAAGAGAGGTTGTTTTACATCGAAACCATTGGCCGGTGTGTCTCGGTCTTATCGCGCCATCGAACATGGAAGCCATGCAGATGCAGTTTCGTGGGAGAGCAGAGAGACGGCCAGACGGGTGACATCGATCGCTTCCGTCGTTTGTTGGTTCCCAACCACTGACCAAAACTCTGGGATCTTTGTCTGGACATGCAACGATAAACAAGCTCTGCACGTTCCAGACACTGCAGCCATCCTCAAGAAGGCCTGATAGCCTGTCAGTCGCAGGGAGCTCAAAGGTTTCTGCGTACACCACCTCCTTGCCTTGTGGAGATCCCGTCACGGGTCACTTATACATGAGGTGATGGCCGTCAAGCGTCAACGGATCGGCCTATATATGTCATGTAGAACATGTCTAGCGCGTCGCTGCGGGCTATCGCGGGATTGATATAACATACATACATACATACATACATACATACATACATACGTACATAAGACACTTGCTGTCGTCATCCAGTCTGCATCTGCTTCAGAAGTTTAAACAAAAAACAAAAACAAAAAAAGACCAGCCCAGCCCTCGCGAAACTCCATTCATGACCCCAAGACGGATGGACTCCATTCAAATTTCTCCTCAAAGGATCCACCCGCACAAAACCCACACCATCTCCAGAATGTCCAGGTGAGTTTTAAGGTTAAGGGATCCCTGAGACAAAGCCCGACACACATTTCACTGCCCGATATCTGTCTTGCCTTTGGGTCTAAACTTTGTCCTTCGTCCTCTCCCATGTTTTGGCACATTTTGCTTGATTATACTTGTCGACCCAGGGACGGCCAAAGGCATTGAATGTGGACACCCTCAACAAAGGCCCTGACGGCTGCTAATACATACCCTGAATTGCCAACGCTATAGGAACACGGCCTCTAGCTCGGTTCACTGCCGGCCTCCGCTCAGATTGCCTCCGCAGTCGCATCCCAGCAGCATCAATACGCCTCGACAGCGCTCCAATAACATGGACGGCTCCAACCACATGTCATCCAGCATCACGGAGCTCGATTTGAGCAAATGCCACCCGCGGATGGTTGACAGGATCAATGCCGTACCCGGACTCAAGACCAGTGCTGGTAAGCAAACATTTCTTCATTTTCTCTCTTTCCGCAGCATCACGAGCATCCGTCTTCCATTAGGCCGGAGTTCGAAATGCCCCTTTCGCTTGTGTCGGGTTTTGTTCTTCTTGGCGCCGAAAAATTTCTGCTTGGGCCTGGATTTCTTGGCTTGGATTCGGGGGTCCGGCCTGAGGTCCGTTCAACAGGGGACAATTCCGGGGGCGGCGGGGCCCGATACCCCGGTCCGTTCATCGGCCAAGACACCACGAGAGTGCGACTCAGCCCGTCAACGAGACACGTGCTTCACTTCCCGATTTCAACACGTCGATATCCAAAGTCAACAATCATGGACCTGTTCCCAAAGCGTCAATTGAACTTGAATCTTATTCTTAGATTCATTCCCACGTGGCCCAAAGCTTGACCTCTCATAATCGTCCACTGTCGCTCCGCTGATTGCCTCCTTCGGAACCGTCATGTACCATCACTTAGATCTCTCGACATTTCTTCGAATTCTTCTCAGCTAAATATATTCCAAGTTTGTTATCGTCAATTCTAACATTGCCAATCACCAGCTTTCTTCACCTTCCTCCGCGCCAACCTCGTTCTCCCTCACTCCGGGCTCTCCTCCAACCCCTCCACTCCCTACCTAGAGCCCTACGTTCCTCCACCACTACCGCCGCTATCCCGCTCACCATCTTCCTCCTCATCCTCATCTTCAACCACCAAATCCTCCAAATCAAGATCCAAGTCAACCACCATGACATCAACACCACCAACGGTCGCCGCCAGCGGTGCCGAAAACCTCGACGACATCCCCCCTCTCACCCTCGACATCCTCACCACCCGCCCCGCCAAGACCGACGCCCTGAAACTCATCGCCGACTCCATCGCCCAACAGCGTCAACAAGCCTCTTACCACCTCATCACCCACCCTGCCTGTCTTTCCGCGCTTTCCGCCGCCCTGGCTCTGGTCTACCAATTCGGCATTGCCCGCGCCTCCCCCCAACATCAAGACTGGGGCACAACAGCCATGCTTCTCTCTGGAGTAGTCATGACCTATCTGATGACCATCAGGTACTTTACTTCAGGTTACATCAAGCTAGCTGAATCCCTATCTTGGGATTGGTTACTCAATCCGTCGGCGGCGGACGGCAACAGCCCAGCCACGGAAGAAGAAGAAGACATTGTCCTCGGCACCTATTATGGCACCGAGCTCATCGGCGCCCTCGTCCTCCGTCTCGAACCACCCACTTCCTCTCGCTCCTCCTCACCCACCGCAAACAGACAGCGGAAATCCCACTCCCGCCACAACTCCTTCTCCGCAAAGACCAAGTCCCTCAAGGGCGGGAGGGGCGTAATCCGCGCGTGGACGACTAAGCTCAGATACAGAGGCAGGGGCGTGGGCAGGGATATGTTGGTTGAAGCGGTTAGGCTGACGAGAGAGAAATGCGGAAAGGAGGCAGAGGTCGGGTTCGCGGCCGAGCATGCAAATGCTAACTGTGGCGAGGTGTTGCCCGAGTGGTTTTGTGGTGGGTTTAGAAAGGGGGAGAGGAGGGCCGCGAGGTGTTTGGAGGGCGTTGTTGCTGAATACAAGCGGTAATTGGATCCAGATTGGAGAGAATGTTAGGCGGGGATGGATGTTTTGTCTACTTCGAGAAAGATTTCGTGGAGGTCGGTTACTGAGTTGCTCGTTGTCGTGGTTGGACGAACCTTCATGGTATGGTACCGACCAGCAAGGGTAATTCAGGGGGATATGTCCACGCGCTCTAATGGGTTGGAAGCAGTTTTTCTTTCATTACGATAATACCTACCTACAGGCGTTCACCGGGGTGGTTGTTTGTTCTTTCTCGCATGTTTTCTGTTTTCGCTTTACGCCCAAAATCCTCCGGTCTTTCTAACCTTTCTTCTTTCGAGATACCACTTAGATTTTGTACACGGATATGGATGAGCCAAGGTGCTCGTGGTAGCACAACTCGATGGCGGCTGATGTCACAATTGGATAGGAGAAAAAGATACCCTCGTTCTAGATAATAATAAAACATGAGTGCTATAAACCTCACACCATGCGTTGTTGATGTGTTCAAGCAATTCATTTGGTTCCTTACTTTGTCTACACATAACTCCATACCAATGCTTCATGCCTCCCCATCCCCATCCCCCCATAACCTTCCCATTTCCTTCCCCCTCCCCGCGCGCATCTCACATCTACAACAACTCATCCCTCCACGGAATCGAATCCTGTGCCCCGAGCCTCTCCACCGTCTTCGCCGCCGCCTTATTCGCCTTCCTTACCGCGCCCTCGATATCAAACTGTTCCCCCTTTTTGGCAGCAATCACCACCTCCAGCGCATACATTCCGACAAACGTATCACCCGCCGCCGTGGTATCCACCACCTTGGCCTTCTCCGCCTTGATCAATCCCTTTTTGCTTCCCCCCTCACCACCAGTCATGAAGAAAACTCCCCGTCCACCCAAAGTGACAATCACCGTCTTGACCCCCTTTTCCAAAAACACCTTGCCCACTTTCTCCAGCCCTTCCTCCGTGTCGAGCACCGACTCCTCCAACCCGCTAAGAATAGCCGCCTCCGTCTCATTCACCACCAAGTGCGCCAGCCCGTCAAACGCCTCATCCGGCAAGGGGACCGCCGGCGCCGGGTTCAGCAAGACCTGCACCCCATTCTGCTTGGCCGTCTTGAGCGCCTGCAGCACCGTAGGCACAGGGATCTCGAGCTGCATGATGAGCAAATCCGGCTTTTCGGGCGCACCACTGCTACTGAGGTGTGCAACCTCGGAAACGTGCTCGGGCTGGAGGAAATGGTTCGCCTCGGGACTCAAGATGATGCGGTTCTGGCCCGTCGGCTCGTCCACCACAATCATGGCCATGCCCGTCTTGGCTCCGGGAGAATCCAGAACTCGCACGCCCGAGACGTCGACGCCGTGTTTGGCAAGGTTTTCTTTGAGCAGGGAACCATAAGAGTCGGCGCCGACTGTGCCAAGCATGGTAATGTGAGCGGTTTCTTCGGAGGAAGAAGAAGAAGAAGAAGAAGAAGAAGAAGAGGAAATGTGGGAGCGGGATAACTTGGCGCAGGCGACGGCTTGGTTGGCCCCCTTTCCACCGGGGGAGACGGCGACGGAGTTGGCGGTCATGGTTTCTCCTGGCAGCGGGTGGTGGGAGACGTAGGCTACCAGGTCTATGTTTAGGGAGCCTAGGACTGTGATTCTGGGGGTGGAGGTGGAGGTAGTCATTTTGTCGGCTGTGCACTTCTTTCTCGTGCCGTTAAGTTGAGCTTGAGCTGTGGTAATTTGTGATAGAGATGGTGGTGGTGGTTCGGTGATTTGATGGTGATGCCAAGCTTGGTGTTGAGGGGTCCTGTTTGCTATGCGGGGAAGCGTCGGCGGTGAGGTGACTTTCCCGGCGCAAAAAGTACAAATTTGAGAAATTGGGGGATGAAGATCAACTTCACGGTAAAGGTTCAAAGGTAAGTAAAAGGTTTCGAAGTTACTTTGTATGACTTCGGTAGAAGAAAGGAAAAAGAAGAATTCGCAAGAAGCTATTGGGCCGGGAAGCTAAAAAGGTGACGTCTGAATTGGGAAGGTGGTCTGGCGCTCACCGAACTTTAGGGGACGTTTAACCGGCGGTATCCGCCTAGAGCCAGGGCACTGCAACGACGAACAGAACGAAACTGTTGATAATCACTTGGCACCGAGCTTCATGATACTCACGTAACTTACTATGCAGTAGATAGCTCCTCAAGAAACTATGCACCTCTGCGGAGACTACCCTAACAAGCACAACAAGCTGGACGTTCTCACAAACGAAGGGTATCTCCATTCGAAGGAATCGCTGCAACAGTAAGACATAGACCAAACCTCCATCAGACATCAGATAACCTATTTAACAATCATCCAGCTCAACTATGACAAGCAATTGACTTTACCAATCGACCTTTGTCCATACAACCCTTATATACTTGGAAGCCTGATCGTCACAGCCCCATCACCAATCCTAAAAAAACAACGATGCATACCTTCTATCCCAGTTCATTCGTGAATGCCCTATAAGCCAGAGACAAGTGCCAGACCCACAAACGCCTCATCATGACATGAAGAACCCATCCGTTCACAAATGAGCAAAACACACGCAAAATTTGTCATAAGAAAGCCCCTTCCGTCTTTTCCCCAATTCGAAACATTTCTGAATACGGATTTAACCAAAGCAACTGGGGTATCATCGCGAATACACCATTCCTTGCTTTTTGTATGTGTAGGGGGTGACATATGTGACTGACGAGTAGTGACCGCCTGGGACAGCCGAGAGATCGTGAGGTAGTGCGAATTTATGCTTTATACTGTCGATCGGGTGGCATGTGATGGCTGATGTTGATCGGTGTCAATCCTCTTGCAAGCACAGGCACCACAGCAGGGGCTGGTGCGGCCAAAGGCGCATGTTTTGAACTCGAAAACCCCGACATCGTCGCATCTGCCGTAGCCGCCGCCTTTGCTGACATATTCGCCATAACCTGGGGATCATTTTGGGCCAGGTAGTTGTCGAGGGTTGACTTCGAGATACTCTAGTCCGAATCGTCGTTATCGCCGCCGCGATTACCGCTGCGGCCTTGTTCGCCACCCTGGGCGAGGGCGCGACGGTGGGCGCCGCGCGCAGGAGGCTCCCACGTCTCGGGGTCAAAGCCGTAGATGGGTTTGCCAATGCGACGAAGGGCGAAAATCACCTTTTCTCCTATTAGCTTACCGTTGTTTCCGCTGATACTTGCCATGTCCCGTGGCCCTCGAGGGTGCTGATGCTACTTACGTCCGTTACGGTGACCGTCTTCGCGTGCCTGTGCTCTGTGTACGTGACACAGTCGCGCAGGATCTGTTATAGGTCTAAGTTAGTAGTGTAACTCTGGTAGCTGAGAGGAAGAGATGGAGGCGTTGGGAGGCATACCATCTGAAGTCTTTCCTTCAGTGCTGCCCTGATTTCATCGTAGATGCCGGCAGAGATACGCTTGACACCGCCACGACGGGCTAAACGTCTGCAAATATGTTAGTTACATACTCTTCTTCCGAAAATGTTTGGACCGCTTTATGAAAGGGAAATAACTGATGATGCTGAAGGGAAGGTGGGCTAGTATGTAAATAGGCCTTCAAGTTTCAAGACAAAGCTTGTCAGGAGCATGTAAAGATAGGCTGATGAATGCATCCCAAAATAGCAGCGGTGGAGGTATCACATCAAGAGTAACCTGATGCAGGTATGAAGTCTTTCTGACCCATCAAGAGGCACGATGTGTAAAATGGAATACAACGTGAAATACCAATACCAAAGTGCAGGGTAGACAAATCCATGGCAGCAACGGCCCACTGAGATGCATCGACAGCATTTGACGACCAAAAGAGAACCTGACACGGATTTGACAAAAGGATGAAGCAGAGAATAGATCCCAACGAAACTGAAGACATTCAAAGGATCAAAACAGAACAAGAGACAACGTAAATCCAGTCTCGCACAGTACGTACCGAATAGCAGGCTTGGCTGAAGCACACAGAGCATGAATGCATCAGTAAACCGTTGTTTCTCGATTGAGGATAATGAGCTGAAGGGGTTCGAAGAAGCGCGCTCCACCTTCACTCTCATCCGAAGATAGATGAGGATGGTAATGGAAGCGGCGTCGTGTCTAGCGACAGAATTGTCCCACATGTAACACAACGCGCTGATGGTTGATGTGCTCAATCGTAGGTGGTTGTAGGCTGTGGAAACTCACTGATGCCGCGAATAGTATCTTTGATGATTTTTCTGTTTCCCAAATGTGAAATCCGTTAGCGAGTGCATATTGTATATTTGGGTGAATGTGTTTCATTTTCGGTCTTTCTTCCTTCCTTTCTTTCTTTCTTTTTTTTTTTTTTGGTTTTTTTTTTTTTGCCTGGTGACGGTGTATCGTGTATCGTCGTCCACATGAATGCTTCCTCGAACTTGTCAAGACGCTGGTGCTAGGCGCTGAGGTAGGTCATGCTCTCGGGCGCATGGCCGCGTTCAACTGAAGTCGACGTACCTGTGGCGCTTGATGCCCACGCCGCCCTGGCCCTTGCCCTTCCCACTCGCGCCGCTCAAGACGGACTTACCGCTCACTGAGTGGCGGTGCTTCAGTCCCGAAGGACCGCCGCGAGAGGGTATGGTCGGCGGCATTATATCGGGTGTTGAAATTTAAGCCGCGTTGTGTTGAGAGTAAACAACAAAAGAAATGATGAAAGCCCAAAGAGCACTCCCTGCAAGGCCAAATGCAACCGAGACGGAGGCGTGCAGTCAAGTGGAAGTTGGTGTAAGCGAATGCGCCTAAGGTGGGGCTGAAAGTTGTTTGAAAGTTTGAGGTTGGTCGGTTGCTAGGTAGAGGGGTGAGTTCAAACAGCGTAGGGTGAGCTTAAGCTATCGATCGTATCCAAATAGGGATCCGTGCACCCTCAAGTCAAACTGCCATGTATCATACAGTCACAGCGGACAACACGACCAGCACAGGAAGCAATCCAAGTCTATTAAATTAGTGGGCTCTCCAGGAAGCCTTGTTATGTTATATCAGATCCACTATGCAAAGCGGGCTCCTTGTCCAGACCGAGACGGAGCAAATAATCGAGTCCTTATAAACAGTACGCAGGAGACAAACCGTCCAACGAGTGACCAAGCACCTCTATCGGCATCTCTCAACGACTCCAAACCATGATACCAGCCCTCATTGATATAGCGTGTTACCCAGAAAAAACCGTCATTACTTCCTCATCCACATCTTAGATTTAGGCGGAAATGAAGGTAGCCTCGCTGAACAGGTAGCCCTCCTCCGAGATTTCTTCCTCCCCAAGCTTGAGCTTGAGAGTGAGCTTCTTCTTTTGTGGCGCGTACTAGATTGTATTCGTGTCAGTTCAACAGTCCAAATGATGAGCGATAAGCAGAACATAATACCTGGTAAATGTACGGCTTTGTGCCAACAGCACCCGCGACGATCTGCTTGACAAATCCCGGCACCTCAGCCATGACGTCTATCCTGTCGAGCTTATCCTCGAGCTCGCCCTCTAGAACAGCATCGGCCTGCTTGCCGTCCTTGGTAGTACCCTTCCACTCAAACTTGATAGCAGTCGGCTCGGGCCAGTCGTTCTCCGTGTCGCCCTTGATCGCAACATGCGTGACCGCACCCTCGGCGCCGGCGAAAATGATCTCATTGTCCTTGACGATACCACCGACGTTCACAACCGTCGATCCGTAAGAAGGGGGAGTTGTGTACTGCATCAGGACCGCAGAGTAGTTGGGGCCTTGGAAGTTGCAAAAGTTCCACTTGGCCGCGGCGTGGTGAGGCTTCATGCCCTGCAGAGCGTGGACGAACATGGCGCGTCCCTTGCAGTCGACGGGACCATCCGGAGTGGCAATCGTGCCCTCGGCGACACACCTGGGCCAAAAAACGTGGCGCATGGAACCCCAAGGGTTGGCAAGGTCGGTGCCAAACAGTGTTGTGCCGGATGTACCAATCTTGAAGCCAGGCGCTGTCCTCTTGATGGTCACGTTGACAATCGACCTTTCATCGTTCAACGACTTGATAGTGTACGAGTTTCCATCTTCCGAAAGCTCGACGGCGCAATCGGTAGCGTAAAAGCTGGTCTTATCCTCGCTGAACTCGTGGTTGTTGAGGGGCGTAGAGCACCAGAGGTGGGGCTTGGATCCATCCAGGGAGAAGACCTTGCAGTTGAACTGGCAAGTCGTGCGGATGCCACTGTTGTGTCATCAGGTTAGTACGAGGCCCAGGTTTGCGAGCGCGCCACATTGACGGCGAATCGTGCGATGGGGAATCTTACGCAACGTTAGAGTAGATGACCTGGGCAAAGGCGAGCTGGCCGCTGTCCGTCATGAAGTAGAAGCACTGCGTCTCGACGCAAGTGGACTCCATGGCCTGCCATTTCAGGTCATCCTTGGTGGTTTCGGTATAGGGAGTCGTCTTGGCCTCTTCAGCGACAGACCTGATAGCCTCGGGGCCGTAGATAGGCTCCTTGGTGCCGGCGACATTGGCCAACCTACAAGCGAGTCGTTAGAGGTTTGCGTCCAGCGGATGGTGGGGGTGGGCGGCATCGTGGATGGTTTGGAGTGCTTGGAGTACTCACGCCGCTTGCGCCCACTTGAACATGATGAAAGACTGGGGGGGTATAGGGCGAAATGGGAAGAGTATAGATTAGAGAAGCAAAAAGCTAAGACAACGAGGCAAAAATGAGTCTAGTTGTGAGAATTTTCCAGGTAGTTTGATGTTCAAGATTAAAGTCATTCACCGCCGTCAAGAAAGATGGGGCAGAGCTGAGATGGCGCCGCGCTCAGATAAAAGGCCAATGGAAAACAGAAGGGGCAACCCAGTCTGTCCCAAATCTCCTACAAGTACGTACCTTTGGGCTTCCCCGCGGCCGACTGCCTCTAGCCGTGGCCCTCGATGCGTGGCAGTCGAGCGGCAAAGAAGACTCACTGGCTCTTGAAGGTGCACGTCACTGTTCCGCCCAACTCTCCACATCACCTGAGGACTTGACGATCGATTGGACCCTTTCAGATTCCTACAGCGGGTCTGCAATCACTTGGAGGGTTCAGGTTTCGCAATGCCATGTTCCCTTGCAGACTTACAGCAGCTCGAACGCACCTTTGCGGCAAGGGCAGGCGGCAGGCAACGACGGGAATGATCAATCCAAAGTCACGCCCGGTGGGAGAGCAATTGGGGACGAGCGAGGACTTTCAGTTGACGGGCGGGGTCCGGTCAGGGTCGATAGCTCTACATCCCGTCCTGTACTAACCTACTGTAGCCACTAGCGGCACTGATAAGCGGCGATAAGGGACTACTAACTGCAGCACTCTTAAGTAGTGTGTGGCTGAGGCTCAGAAGGAGTGGCTGACGTGACCCTGGCCGCAACGGTTGCCGGCCCGGCGCCCGATTTTTTTTGGGCCCAGCTTGAGGTGCCGCGCGCGCCGTCGCCGCCGCCGTTGCTGCCGCCGTCGCGAACGAGGATACCCGACCGACCTCGAAAGTGTAACACGCGACTGCAGACGCGCCGAATCACTGTTCCGTCCTCCTCCCAACTTAACTTCCCTCGAGGGTCTCTGCAGTCGAGTCGCCAGAATGTCCAAGGCCGCAAAAGGTGGTGCTGGTGGTGTTGAGCAGGTGGTGAAGCTCATTGTCGGCGCTGGTCAGGCCAGCCCGAGTCCCCCGGTCGGTCCGGCCCTTGGTTCCAAGGGTATCAAGTCCATGGACTTTTGCAAGGTCGGTTTGCATGCGTCCACACATATAATATCCACAAAACAAGCTGACATGCGCTCAAATCTGTATAGGAGTTCAACGCCAGAACCGCCCATATCAACACCGGTACCCCTATGCCCGTCCGTGTTACCGTCAGGCCCGACCGCTCGTTCCACTTCGATGTCCGCACCCCCCACACATCATGGCTTCTGCTCAACGCCGCCGAGGCCCCGATAGGCAAGGGCGGCAAGAGAAAGGGCGCCAGCAACCCCGGCAAGGAGGTTGTCGGCACCGTCAGCCTCAAACATGTCTACGAGATCGCCAAGATCAAGCAGTCCGAGCTCCGTCTATCCGGCCTGCCCCTCGAGGGCCTCTGCAGGGCGGTCATCTACCAGGCCAGGTCGATCGGTATCAACGTTATTCCCTGAAAGAGGCTATACGCTGAAAGACATTATACGGGCTTGGGAGCACGAAGGCGTTACGGTTGTTTCTTTTAGGTGGATAGACCACGGCATTGTTACCAATATTGGATGGGGACTATAGCCATTGCTTGTGGCTCTGTGTATCTTTTCTTGTATCATTATTGTATGGCAAAATCTCAAAATGCACAGCGGTGCCTGGAGCTGTTGGTTGGTCCACGGAGTATGTTAAAGGCTTCCACAAAAGGGTGCTAATGATAGGCATGGCATATATGGGCATCTGCCAGTTTGCGTTTGCATTGCCTCAACGTACTCCAGCTTCGTCAACCTTGGCTCACATAGCTTGTGTCTGTGGAACACGCAGGCGTAGGACTAGGATCTGTCTCTGTAGGATAAAGTTTTAAGGTTGGCGGTCACCAAGGCAGACCGCCCAACGGGTATTATGCTTACCTGAATGTAGGTGAGATGTGCTTATGCTGCTCTGGGCCAAGCTGACTGCAAGACAAATCACACACATATATACACTGAAAAGGGGTTATGTAAACAAACCACCCCTTCGCCCAAGTGCTTATTCACCAGCCCACTTCTTAACACCCAGGCGAAGCCCCGGTATCATGTCGCCCTGGTGTTCATCTCATGCTTTCAATACTAACGAGATGAAATGGATGATTGTTTAATATCCTATACGTGTGCAACGATTGCAAGTACATTCGATGGCTTCTAGAACCATTCGGGCAATTACCTCCCGCAGCATGGCGGGGTATCGACATGGGTTACACCGAACCGAGCGATAAGGACCTGGTATTCGGCGGTAGAGATCGACACAGAAAGCCGTTTACATACCATATCCGTTGCCAGTCCATCGAAAAAAAAGTTGGGTGACATCAGGACAGTCACTGGAGACAAAGCTGACCACCGACACCACCTAGACTTGTCATCCATGCCTTTGCGGTGCCTCGGTCTTTCGGACAGGGCGGCGCTCCAAAAGCCCGCTTTGACGGTGATAGGGGCTGCTGCGGGATTCATACTTGACTCTCTGCTGTTCAGTTGAAACGCAGGGCAACGAGGATGACAGCCAAGGACGCAAGGCACAACCGGCTGAGGTGTTCACTCGAGTCATTGGGTGAACTGCCCAGTGTTTGAGGAACAACACGGGGCGGTGGAAACAGAGACGTAATGGAATGGATGTCCTGGCAGGAAATACACCCGCGTCAATGCAGCTGGTAATTGACGTTTTAGAGGGGGAGGCGCTGCAATCGCTCGGCATCTTTAAAAGCTGGAAAAGGAAGTCGGACAAGATGGAAGAGGACATGGATGGACAGGATCAGGGACCTGACCCCACGTTGCCGACCGCTCCCGGTTCCAATGTGTGTACATACTTATCGTAGTGTATGACAAAGACCAAGATCCAAGACGGGACTCCTATTGCGGTTTTGGAAACACTGCGTGACGCCCAGACAGGGTGCCCGCCGCCACGTTCAAACTGAACTGTTTGATTTCGAGACCGCTCACCTTGTGAGGACGGGACGGAGTCTGTGACTGCGGATCCATCTGAAATTCAATCATTCTAGGAAAGCCGGCTTGGCCCGATCTCAGTGCCGGCGTGCCCGCTCTCAGATTCAACTAAGGTCCTCTCCTCTCAGGCGGGTGCACTGGCTGGTGGTCCATCAAGGGTACCCGTGTTTCCCGCCGCCTGCAGCCAACGTTTCCTGTACCTGTCATGTAGCCCGGCCCCACCACGACGCAACAGAGCGCCATCTTTCACACTGCCATTTCTTCGCCGAACCCGGGCCGCTTCTGTCCCAAGTGAACAAGAAGGAAGCCTAGGCACACAGCATCGACAAGGAATCGTCAAGGCCAGGCAAAGTCAAATCAGAAGTCACGGTGGAAAGTGGAAACCCCATTATTCACCTCCTACATAGTGTACTAGTAGTGACTAGTCCGAGCCTTGTCGCAGTTCCATGACAGTTGAGATCGCCGTCATCTATTTGGCCCCGACTCTTCTTTCGCCGCCGTCCCATTTGCCTTTCCCTTGCTTCCACTTGACATAGTTTCCGCCCATTCCGCCGCTGCGTCTGCTTGCCGGTCTGGTCTGGTCTTGCATCTTCTGTCGCTCTGTCACCTGTCTGGCCCTTGCATCTTGCATCACACGGTCTTTTATCCCATCTTTTTATCTCTGTTCTCCAGGGCGGGCCAGACACCAGACGTTATTCGGATTCCTGCCAGGATTTTACAAGTTTTATTAGTTTGCGGAGACGGGTGCAAATTCGAACCAAGAAATCAAAGCAACCCAACAAAAACAACAAAACACCAAAAACAAAAAAAAAAAAAAAAGATGGCGACCGCTGAGAAAGAGTCAGAGCAGCGTCAACCGGACGGACAGCACCAAGGTAAGGAGAAAGGAAACAACAACGAAGGACTAGAAAAACAACATTAATAAAAAATCAACGGCAACCCCTCATTTCTGATCCCTACTACGCCAATGCTCGGGGATTAGAACGAGCAAGCATTGGATTGAAGCAATTCGCTGACTTGTAGTCTACTCCAACAGCTGTCGAGCCGCAGTCGGCCAAAGTCACTCCCGCTGAACCATCCAAAACCGAGCCTGCTGTCCGCTTCAAGTCAACTGTCGAAGAGATCACCCCAGAGGGCACCACATCGACACCAACCATTGCACCAGACGTCACCCTCGGCGAACCGGGTGAGGTCACCCCCGAGCAGCTTCGTGATATCGCCGAGAGGTTGAAGGCCTGTCCGCTGCAGGAGCGAAGGATAAGCCTTTTCCAGTACGAGGCATTCTCGCTTCCCGCTTCAAGGGTAAGCCCATCCCAATTTCACGTGAGGGGCTACGCTTCTTGCTTCCTTCCTTTGTTCACCTCCCAAGTTTTGCTTTTGCGTTGGTCCGTCGCTTCCGGGGGGGCCTTGTGCAACCAAGATCAGCTCGGTGGCTTTTGCTGGCTTTTGCCATGTCTCTTGTCTGATTGCACACCATATATCCATGCATGCATAGTCACCATTCTTTGCGTCTGCGTCTTTCCCCCTTGGGCGAGGACTAATACTTTTCTGTCTCCAGACACCTTCCCACGAAGATGAATCAAGAGCTCCCAGTCGCGAACATACACGGAGCTCGGCAGGTCGCAACTCACCGCTTCTTACTCCGCACGTCAGGGGCCACGAAATGCATACACCTCCTCTCACGCCGGCTGGAACCGACAACGTCGACCGAGAACTTCGCCGCGAGAGCGGTCTGGCGCAAGAAAGGCGGAGTGCCAACCTCATCACTCCTCAGGATTCTTCCCACGAACCGACATCACCTACCTCTCTCCGCAATGTCCAGCTGCCTACACCCGACGAACAGCTGCGGAGCTCTTCCAGGCCGACTTCGATAGATGGCCGAGATCGTCCCCAGATCACTATCGGTGAACATCGCAGAGGGTTGTTTTCCGTTGGGTCCGGCGGCAGCAGTTCTCCCAGTAGATCTCAGCCTGCGTCTCGTGATTCCAGTCCCTCCCGAGCGTTGGCCGCGTCACAGTTCTACACCCGCCAACTACCACCTCCCGGCGATGCCAACGATCCGTACTCGGCAAGCAAACGACCTGCGCAAAAAGGCATTGAGCCTCGCTTTATCTTCTCCAGGAAAAAGAACTCGTCCTCTTTGAGTCTGGTATCCAAAAGCGACAAACGCTCCAAGAAGGATCGCCATGACAACGACGACGAGGCTACGATCCCCAGCAGAAATAGCTCAATGGCGGACCTGAAGAGGTTCTTCAAGCTGGGACCTCACAAGCACAAGAGACCGGCATCTCCCGCTGCTTCTGTAAAGTCTACGCCCAAGACACCGGGAGGCAAGTCTGCCCAGATTCCGTTCGGTGACGATCACGGTCTCTCTTCTAAATACGGGAAGCTTGGCAAGGTGTTGGGTGCCGGAGCGGGAGGTTCCGTGAGACTCATGAAGCGCAGCGAAGACGGTGTGGTCTTTGCCGTTAAGGAATTCCGCCCTCGCCACTCGTACGAAACCGAGCGCGAATATGTCAAGAAGCTTACGGCCGAGTATTGCATGGGATCTTCTTTGCACCATGGCAACATCATTGAAACCCTAGACATTGTCCAGGAGAAGGGCAAGTGGTATGAGGTGATGGAGTACGCCCCATATGACCTGTTCGCCATTGTCATGACAGGAAAGATGTCTCGAGAAGAGGTCAGCTGCTGCTTCCTTCAGATCTTGAGTGGCGTAACATACCTCCACAGCATGGGCCTCGCGCATCGGGATCTGAAGCTTGACAACGTTGTGGTTAGCGAGCATGGTATTATGAAGATTATCGATTTTGGTAGTGCTCATGTTTTCCGGTATCCGTTTGAGACTGGTATTGTCCATGCCTCAGGTAAGTAAACACATGGCTGAGAAGATGCTGGTTGAAGGGTTGCTAACTGATTAAAGGCATTGTTGGATCCGACCCATATCTTGCCCCCGAAGTGTACGACGAAAAGAAGTACGATCCCGAGGCCGTTGATATCTGGTCCTTGGCCATCATCTACTGCTGCATGACACTCCGACGATTCCCATGGAAGGTTCCTCGATTGACCGACAACTCGTTCAAGCTATTCGCTGCAGAGCCTTCGTTCGGACATGACCCAAAGAAACTGTTGCTTCCACCTTCAGCCTCCACATCGGCGCTTAGCGATCTTCCATACAGAGATTACGACCCTCAGAGCGTCAGGGCTAGCAGCGACAAGATCGACAAGGTTCAAGATGACAAGAAGACGACTTCCGATCACAAGCCGACAACCAGCGTACAAGGAGAAGCTGGCAGCACTGGAGAGAAGAAGGAGGTCATCCGTGGTCCTTGGAGAATCCTCAGGCTTCTCCCGAGGGAAAGCAGACACGTCATCGGCAGGATGCTCGATCTGGATCCCAAGACACGAGCCAAGATGACGGAAATTCTTGACGATCCCTGGGTGGCGAACACCGTCATCTGCCGGCAGATCGGCCCCGGCAACGTGGCACATGCGGATGATCACGTACACACTCTCGAACCCCCATCAGCACCTGCAGGCACCAAAGATGAAAAGGCCAAACGCTAGAAGTGGAGCCTTCGCGCCAGTAGACACATTCAAATACAGGACGGCTTCTTAGGGGTACAGGATGCCACCAACATTTGGGTTAGGAACAAGAAGGGTCATCTGATGGGGACTTGTGGGGGGTAGCTTGGGTTTAGTATTGAAAAGACCGAACATACGTTCTTAGTACAGTATATGGGCATTGTTACCATTTTCCTCTCAGTCGGTGTCTGTCACCTTGCGAGGCAGCGGTTTTTCGTCATTTTCTTGGGCGTTTTTGGGACTTGGGAAGACAGCGCTGCGATTGGGTTTGGGTGTCGATGCAAAGATTCAGTATAGGGGGGCCGGGTTCTAGGCATACAGCGTTTATCTTTCTGATTATGCTACTCTCTGGTAAAAGATAGAAGGTGGTATGGCTAGGCTAGACATATTGTGGGAGACGGGCACTAAACAATGATGAGTGTATAAAGGTCGCTCGCTTTATAATTAGAAAGTGCAGTTATTGATGGAGTGAGAAGTGGTAAAATCTAGGCAGACAGCTGACTGGCCGTGAGGTATGTGACGTTGCTAATGGTGATGAACTTTTCAAAACCGATCTTGTTAAGATGGAAGTTGGGAGTCCAGGTTACCCGTTATATAGATATAGAGGTAGAGGAGACCTTATCTGTGTTCTGTCATGGTGACCGGAGCAACGGACGGAGCCGCTTCGCAGGACGATCCACCGTTCCCCGGCCAAGCCGGGCGTGTTACCCCAGCTTCGCACAGCCAATCAGAAGCAGGTAGGCTGCCCGTTTTGGCGGGATTGCCGGTGACGTACCGACGTCGGCAGGGATAAACAGCAAGTCCGGGCCCCATTAAAAAATGGAGCGGCATCTTCTAGATGCGTATCGAAGCTCGTACAAGGGTAATCAAAAGTCGCGATCCCGCCGGCCCAAATACCGAAGCTCTTTCCCCCTCAGTCTCCTCAGATCCGCCGTACTCGTCCATCCTCACGCCCAAGCTCGCCAGTCGAATCCCTCGTTGCCGTTCACCGTTTCAATCCCGTCAAAATGGTGAGCACACACCTCCCGTCCGAGACACCCAATCGCACTCCGCCGCCGGGGACAAGGAAGCGCCAGGAAGATGGAGCTACATACTGCGGCAGCATTGCGTAGTTATCGGGGAGCTTAGCAATTGCGCTGTAGAACCTCTGGCTAGCACCGGTACAACCGAACACTCGGCGGCAAGCACCGCGACAAGTGCAATTGGCGCCGAACATGCAAGACGATATCATAAAACCAAATTATCGACTAACGCGTTGTTGTTGTCGTCATCGTAGGCCACCACCGTCCGCTCCGTCAAGTCCCTCATCCCCCTCCTTGACCGCGTCCTCGTCCAGCGCGTCAAGGCCGAGGCCAAGACTGCCTCCGGCATCTTCCTTCCCGAGTCCTCCGTTAAGGACCTCAACGAGGCCAAGGTCCTCGCTGTTGGCCCCGGTGCCCTCGACAAGGACGGCAAGCGTCTCCCCATGGGCGTCAACGCTGGCGACCGCGTCCTTATCCCTCAGGTACGTTAAAGGGCTACCAATGAGCTACATACAATGCCGATGCAGAGCAGACGGGCGGTTACAGATTGAAGTTATCTGTCCGTAACACCCGGATGCAACGCCTGCATGCATAGGCTTTTGTATAAAGAGGGAAGAAGGGAGGAATATGGATGCTAATGCGCTCTTTAACAGTACGGCGGTTCCCCTGTCAAGGTTGGCGAGGAGGAGTACACCCTCTTCCGCGATAGCGAGTAAGTTGCACCATACACCACAGATCCTGTCCCTGATTGGAGGGGGGAGGGAAACTATTCCCGACCGGCCTATGCAAACATACAGGAAGAGCGGTTACTGACAAATGTCTCTTCGATAGGATCCTTGCCAAGATCGCCGAGTAAACCTCGTTCACCCAGCATAAAACCCAAAAAGCAAAATATAAAGGATACCCTCTCATGATTCTTATGACAATATCAAAAGTGTACCAATATGTAATGTACCAATAGAAAACAGCATTGAACAACAGGCTAAACGGACAGGTTGGCATACTTGACACGAAAACGTGGGCGTGAGGTGGTGGTGCTCGGCATTTATCGCTTGATAATGGTTTGGTTCTCGGAAATGGCACCTCAACTCATCTCATCCTTGTGACAGTTAACTTGGAGCGAGAGGAAAGATGTCGGGATGACAGTCGTCTTCAATCGACTTCTCACATCACAGTTCGTCCGAATTTCCGGTTCAGAATACGATATCCTCACCCGATCTCTAGTTTCAAATCAATCAAACATGTGTCGCTCACTTCTCCGGTCTCGGTCCTCGGATCCCGTCTCATAATCCTTGGTGCTGCCGGTTTGGTGGGGTTCAGACCTGAAAAACTAGACAAGACGAGACGAGATGTGGCTGATACGTACTTCTACTGTTATCCATGGAACAGCGAGCAAGCGAGCTGTCGTGGGCTGATCAAGAAGAAATACCAGTTAACACGAGCGTCTCCTATCCCGTACATCTGTCTCGTTCAATTCGTGCTTGACAACATCAGACAAGCACAGAGGATGGACATACACAGACAGCGTCGGTGTAGCACGTTACCGCAAGCGGGCAGGGCCGGTGAGCGCTGTGCCGGCGGTAGGCGTGATTCGGTTCCTGATCTTACCCCAGTGGAATCCGAATGACAAGGGACGAAAGGGGAGAGTTGAAGAGTGAGCCAAAACCAACACGGAACCAACACCAACATAGGAAAATCAACAACGGCGCCACTTCAGCAGCAAGCAGTCAGTTAGTCACACACTCACGCCGAGACTCCTACGATGCAACTCTCAGACGGAGTTCCAGTCTGTCGTTTCTCCTCAAACGGAAACGGCGCGTGTTAAAAGCGAGAGGGGACGACCGAAAAACAGCAGAGATGAGAGAAACAGCAGAGACCCGAAAAACGACTCACATAACGATTGGAGACGAGCCAAAACATAACAAATCCGGGTCCGGCTCCCGTTCGATGGTGCTTAACTTACTTGCACTCTACGAGACTTTTTTTTTTTTTGTCTATTGTACTAAAACATATGCACCCTAAAGTCAAAATCCCTCCTCTTTTCACATATGTCTAACAGCATGTGCATCTATCCGCCATCTTCGGAACTTTCAAGATGAATGCTTGGCTGCATTATAAATTCGTGTTGCTTTCCCAGTGACCGGACCAACCCCCGGTTCATTATGAAACATTGAGCCATCTTAGCCCCCCATGCCTTCCTAGGCTCCCCATGTGGCTTTATGATAATCTTATGTCGATCACCTATCGCCTACTTTCGTATCAATTATCCTTCAGGCTTACTATGGGTGTCCAATGTTCAGGTCTGGGAGATGTCGATCAAGATTGATCTAGGTGTTTCGAAGCGAGCACCTTACTTTACTTCTCCTCACCCAAGAACGAGAAAGCCATTATCTGGAGGTAGGTAGGTATGTACACTACGTTGGTGATTTTCATCCCTCATCCACACATAAGCAGGGTCTCTGCGGTAGAGATTGCCTCCTGTGTGAAAGAGCAAACCGCATGATTGGGAATATTGGACAATCTATACCTTGTAGGTAGCAACCAACGTGTAATGTCTTTCTTTATCTCCCTTTCGCGCTCGCACACGCCCGCGCGCACCCATCTGCGCTTCCGAGCGTATTGGGTTCGCATTTTCTTCATTTCCTCTTCATGCTGTGCTTCGCATGTGTCTCTCTGTGCCTGTTTGCGGCGTCACAAATGTCGTGGACCCCGAGACTCACTCGCAATCCTGGCGAACTTGGCGGAGCTGGCAGGCACAGTTCAGCCTCTGTGCCTCTGTGCCTCTTGTTGTTTCCATCTCCGAAAGCGATTTGCTTGTTTTGGTGATCTCATCATTTTTCGCCTGGTGTTTGCTTTTGCCCCTGATCCACACCAGGTCCATTTTGGAGAGTCAGTTTCGACATTGGTCACTCACTCGCAGATAAAGAAATCAGAGACGGATATACCGAGGGACAGAGCGACGGAGGGGCAGAGGGGTAGAGGGGTCGGGGAGATAGGTAGAGGCAAGACACAATACATAAGGAAAGCTATCGAGAGGCCTCATGCCTGTCATTCGATTAGATCGTCATTCCTCCACACAGTAAATGCAAGGCACCAGAGAAAAAAAAGAATGTTTCGAAACACAGACGGCGCGAACTCCCATGGCGCCGAGGGGGGTCCTTAATAAGCGCCTGCTCCAATGTCTCCTCTCCCGCGGCTACAACCAAAGATTTGGTCTAATTCCAGCGAACCAACGGGATGGTCAGGAAGGCTCGTTTGGGATGTCTGACCCCATGGATCTCCAGTTGGATGAAACACTGACGGCTTTTCTTGGCGGACATTTTCCCCGGTGGCGGACAGCGCCATTCCCAGGCGGCTGCCAGGGCAAAAGTGGAAGCAGGGGGTTTTCAACACGGCAGCGCCGAATGACAGGGGAGACCCATTCACACACTCTTAGGGAATGCAACTGAGATCGACAGCAGAGTGGCAGCAGCAGCATTGTTCGCTTCTTCCCCTGGCGATAGCTAAGCTTCCATTTCCTTTCCCTTTCCACTCTCACCCCAGCTTTCCTCGTATCAGTTTCCCCTCTTCATCGTTTTCGCTCGCGAACAAAAAAGAACTCAAATTTAGCTCCACATCACATCGTACTGCGTTCTGCTGGCCGTGCTGCTCGTTTCGTCGGGTGGGCATCCCGCGTCGCCAAGTTCCCCCGATTCAGCTCACTGGACCGCTGGAGCACTGGATAGGATGTGGGTGACATGACATATGTACGTCACGACATCACGGCACCAGTTAAGCCAAGGGGTAAAAGCAGAAGAACGGATGAGAGAGGGGAGAAACCAGCAACAGCCTCGCTTTTATTCTCATGCCGTGTCGTGAGACTAGTCGTAAACAGGTCTCGTTTCTCCTTCCAGAGGCATCACAAAGCAGTTCTAACCGACCTCTCCAGTCACTGTTGTAAGCGTAGAGTACCTCTTAGACGCGGGCGAGGGGCGGTTATACGTCAGGTCAGGAGGTCTGACTCTTCGGGCTTCTTTGAGATCAAGGCAAAGATGGATTCCATTCACAGTCCAGGCTCCCTCAATCCGTTGATCAGTTGGACATGCCTCTATCACATCGTCACAACCGAAACGCCGACATCCGGATAACCATATTGCCCCCTACATGCCTATCATATCCCCTATTCCCCATATTCCACAGGGAACACAACAGTCACTTTCTGAGGCCCTGTTCCTTGCGTCATGGATGATCCGGGCCTGAAGCTTGCTTGCAAAGCTCCGCCGTTTGTATCTCCTTCCTCATATCGTCTTTTTTGCCCGAGGAGGAGCGGGCGTTTGCTTCGTGTTGTGAGGGTCTCGAGGGCTTGGTTGGTCAAGGTATCACGGGTCATTCAAGGGTACCCTACCTTGACGAGACTAGGGACCGGAGGAGGCTTGTCTGGCCTTACAAGCTTACCTCTCCAACTGAACCTTACCAGTCGACGAGGGGGGCCAGCCGCCGCCCGAGGACGCTAGACAGGTAGGGGTAGGTTTTATGGTAGCATTGTCAGGTACAGTGCAGTAGAAGGTCGGGTAGCACTCGGTACCCTGCATCCCTGACCTAATCTTCATTGCTTGTTGTAAGTGGGTGTGGGGTTTCCCATTCTGTATATATCCCTTTCGAGTTCCCTTCTATTCTCTTGACCCTTTCCTCTTGCTCAGCCCATCCTTTAAGTGCCAGAGCTTGGTGTTGTTTCCCCCCTTCCTTCCTTTGGAGCCTCAGCTTTTTGCAGAAACAGACTCGAGGTCTGTGATCCGGTCTTTTCTCTCCCTACCTTCCTTCATACACGTATTTCCAAAATACCACGTTGGAATTCTGGGTATCGCTTGCCCATTCCCTCCTTATACATACACAACGGCATAAAGGTCATTTGACTTTTTCCTCGAAAACTTCGACTTCACTTTTTGTGGCTGGCCGCATATCGACACTCTCAAAACATACTATCATCCATCATGCGCTCCACCACTGTCCTCGCCGGTCTGGCGACGGTCCTTGCCCCGTTGGCTTCTGCCCACACTGTCCTCACAACGGTTTTCGTCAACGATCAGAACCAAGGAGATGGTACCGGCGTCCGTATGCCCATGGATGGCAACATCGCCAACGCCCCCGTTATTAACATGAACAGCGATGACATGATCTGTGGTAAGTCCTGGATCCTTTCCCACTCATGCCTGCTGCTCAAAGACACTCACACATCAAACAGGCAGAGACGGCCTCAAGAAGGTCAACTACGCCATCCCCGCCACCGCTGGCTCCAAGATGACTTTTGAATTCCGCACCTACGTCGACGGCAGCAGGCCCGGCTTCATCGACGAGTCGCACCAGGGTCCCATTTCCGTCTACGCCAAGGCCGTCTCGGACTTTGACCAAAGCCCTGGCGGCTCCGGCTGGTTCAAGATCTGGCACGACGGATACGACGAGTCCACCAAGAAGTGGGCGGTGCAGAAGGTCATCGACACCAACGGTCTCCTCAGCATCAGCTTGCCCACGGGGATGCCCACGGGCGCCTACCTGTTGCGTACCGAGGTGATCGCCATGCAAAACGTCACCACCAAGGCCGACGGCAACTGGTACTGCGAGCCGCAATTCTACGTCAACTGCGCCCAGGTCTACGTCCAAGGCTCCTCGTCTGGCCCTCTCTCTATCCCCAAGGACAAGGAAACCTCCATCCCCGGCCACGTCCACCCCTCCGACAAGG